GCAAGCAAATAACATGGGCATTCCACTTCTTCAAAGCAACTTTAACCACCTTTCTTTTGTCCGGATCATTTAATCCACGGACGTTCCATGTAATGATTCGTATCTTCATTGAGAACCAAAGATAATTAGTGCCCCTCCTCCCTGCTTCCCACTTCTAGTCCTTCCCCTTTCTTTATTCACCCCATCCTTCCCTTCGTAATTGATATTAGAAATAAGGTTCTTAACCTCCTGATCAGCTTTCCGATGTGCATGTTTCTTATTTTTAACAACTTTTGTGCTTTTAAAGGTCTCTACATTATTGTTTCCTTCCACAATATCATGAAGAATGATTTGTGTTCGATCATCATCTCCTTCCGAGGAGACACCCAAAGCTTCGCTGACCTCGCCAATATTATCCAACACCCAGTCCATACCCATATCGTTAACTGTCTCTAAGCAATCAGGGTGCACAGTTGCTAAGGGTTCCATAATGTCCACATCAGATTGATCAACATCCCAGGCAAGAGGACAAATCTGTTGAGACTGATCATCAAAGTCCTACCCTTTGCTTTCAGTATTGTTCTGATACAGGTTTAATTGCAAATTCAATTCTGTTCCAGTGTCATCCATAAAAATTTTCATTAAATCATAGGTAGAATTGGTCCCAGTCACGGGGGGTAGACCATTTAAGCCTTTTAGAGCAACACAGAGCTTAAGTTCATTAAGTAAAGTCATGGCTAAATCATCTTTCAGTTTAAAATGAAGGTCTCGACCAACACAAACTGTCACCCCGTTAGAACAATCAATACTTCCGGACTTGGACATTGAAGACGATGATTCTGCATCCCGTGGTACAATAGCTTTAGAAAAACCTCTCTTTTGATCCAAACGATCCTCCACTACACCTTCACTATTTCCCAGCACCTTACTCGAAGAAGGGGTAAAAGATGAGCTCTTAGGATGAGAAAGAGGGGTCAAACCTGGAGAAGGAGAAGGACAGCGTACTACCCATTTCTGTTTTTCAGTACGAGTCCATCGAGTACCTTGTCGACTAGCTAAACCAACAGGCCCGTCTCCACTTTTCTTTCTCAGTCCGACGCTGAAATGAAGAAGAGGAGAGAGTTTGATTTTGGGCTTGAGTTTTAACCTGGGCTTTCCTTAGATTTGGGTCATTAAGAACAGAAACAGAAACTGAGTTTGGTCTTCTAATAACCCGTCTTTTAGTATGGGCTAACTTAGGCCCAAAATCAGGCTTGAGCCTTAACGCTTTAGTTTGCCCATAACCCCTCCGGCCCAAATCAACTTTAGGCCAATCTGTGTGGCCCAGCCCATTTTCCTCACCAACCCTTGTAGATAAGGATAGTGTGGAATCTGGAAATGAAACTCTATGAGCGCCACGTGTAAAGTAATTATTATCAGCTGTGACGCGCATAACCAGTGCGTGTCGTTGACTTAATCTTCCTCGTACCCATCCTTTCTCCGGCATATGAGTAGGCCTTTCGCCGCCTTCGATACTCTCTGTTGAGGGAACCAACGCCGGCGCAATTTCTTCCCAAATCGCCACCTTGTAGCAGAAAGTATCATCATTAATAAACACAAATTACGGACAAGTCGATCCTATCTTCACTGTAATATGAACGCTCTCGGCATCCTTGGTTTCATCGGCAACAGCTCCCACAAATCCGCCGCATAACTCCCCTACTTCAACAAATAGGGCATGACACCATAGATGAAGGGGGAGCCCAAACATCCGGATCTGTTTGAGTCCTTTTTCTCTAAGGACGCCACAACATCCAACCCTAAAAGACCACACATCGATCCGTAAAGTTGTAGATCCCCAGTGACGTTGTCCTTCCTTTAACACGCATTAGGCTTCGGCCTGAGAAGGAAACCTAAAAAGAAGCAACGAATCAGATAATGGAGTAACCCCCAGACCACAGGACGTATTCCATGCTTTCGCTACCCATTCCTCCACACGATCACGGCCCCCAACTTCCTTATCAAAACGACCAACCAAGCAAGATGAGAGTACTGATTTCCTCCCTCCGACGGACTTCCCGTCGATATACATAGACGGTCCTCGATGCGGAACAGCAGACTTCACATCCCCAGCTAATGAGATTCTTGGAATCCTTGCAGTTTCTAAGTAAGATTTCATCGCGGAATAAAACAAAAAAAGAAGAAAGAAATAAAACAAAGTCTCAATCGCGGTAAAAATCGCCCCTAGTGGGGTGAAATCGCCCATAGTGACGTCATCACGGACACTGTACAAGGCCGAAGCCAAAGACTGTCTAACCGACGGATATAGTCTTTCTTATGGTAAAAGGGTCAAAATTCTCAACACATTTGCAAACGTCAAGTCATGTTTGATAATGCTAGATTTGGAATGTGAAGGGTTAATTGTTCAGATGTTTTGGTACTTTTTAAAGGAAATAAAGGATCATTATTCAGACAATATCTTTAGATATATGGAGCAAATTATGACTCTTATATTGGAGGAAAGCGACCATATCTCTGTAGAACTACTTCGTCCTCTTCTAGCTAGTGTTAGAAAGGGAAATCAGACTATTTCACCTGAATATTACAAGTTAGGAGAAAAAGTTTTGAACTATTGTGCTACAATTCTTAAGTCTTGTCTTTCAAAAGCTCTACAATCCATGGCCCTTTTGTCAATTGATTTTGCTGAGATAGTCGCTTATGTTTGTCAAGATGAATCTGAAAAAGAGAATTTTCAATATAGTCACATCTCTCCAGTGTTGGCAAAAGAAGAAAATGAGGTAATTGAGGAACACCCAACTAAATTGCCACACGAGTATCCTGCAAAACACTTTTGCCCTAGCCCCAAGATCGCTTTTGTCTATTGTCGCACATAATCTCACACATCCTAGGAGCATGTTGAATTGAGTCAATCAAATGATGAATTTACACAAAAAGAGCTCACTTAAGATCATGTTGAAAGGATTGTCAGACTTTATACATCATCTACTGCCATTATGTCAAATAAGGATGTCAAGTACACTAGTAATTTTTGGAAGACACTTTGAAATTTCTTAGGAACAAATTTGAAGTTTCCTTTTGCATCTTGTTTGATGACAGATAGGAAAATTGAGGTTGTGAACCAAGGTCTAAGAAAGTTGGTTAGTTTTATTGTTACCATGCACCTAGACACTTGGAACTTGTTTTTACCCATCATGGAGTATGTTTGTACTAGTTTGACTAATGAAAGTACTGGCATATGTTCTTTTAAAAGTACTGGCATATGTTCTTTTAGGGTTTCCATAACCTTAGACGGTGAAGATCCTGAGAAGAGAAGTGTCGTCCGTGACGATGAAGACGGCAACAACACAGATGATATTCTGCGTCATCATGAGTAGGTAATTCCTCTCTTAGGGCACTGATGTAACCCGTTCTAAGTACTATGGTTTGAGTGTTTCAACTTTGAGTGTTTTTAATATATTATATTTCTGATTACATGATTCTGAGCAATTGAGACAAATCAATTAATAGTTTTTGAAAAGTTATTACCTTGTCTTAGATATAACTACTTTTAAACTATTCTCAACCCATTCTTATTGGACGGTATCTGGCGGAGCCCTGCCGAACACAAGAATGGAGATCATGTAATGGTGTTCCAATGTTTTTTATAAATAAATATTTTCATAGTCTATGCTTAGGAAAGATGGATTGTTTGCAAAATTAGTTAAAGTAGGTAGGTGGATAGTCCATATTAACCGCAGATAGGTTATAGTTAATTGAAATTTATAAAAATCTTTCTTTAAAACCGAATTGAACGAATGTTACTGAATTCAATTCATTTGAAATATAAATTGTTAAAACCCCAGAGTTGAACAGTTAACCATAGTACGAAGTTCGTGGTGAAGTCAAAGCCCTAAGACCTTTCTCTCTCTGATCTCTTTAGTTTAATTTTAGTTTAATTTCATTTTATGTTTGTGACAACCAATCAACAAATTCAACCAGTTACCTGTAAACCAAAAAAAGTAAATTGGATTAGTTAGAAACAAAACAAAGAACACTCATCTCCCTGTGGAATCGACACCCTCTTTATAGTACTATCCCACAAAGATTCGTGTTATTGCAAGTGATAATAAACTGACACATCAAGTGTGCAGGACAAAATTTGTCCTAATTGGACAGGACTGAAGTATTGTCCTATCTTTATTATACTCTCTTGATATTTGTATACATTGATCACCTCTATTTATAGGTGATATGAGAAAGACTGGTAGCTAGAGAATAGAAAATACTTAATTTATAAGTATTCTTGAATTAAAAGTATTTTATAAATAAGGAATTACACAAAAAGTCAAATACAATTATGGTAACAAGTCTCATAGCAGCATTCTGTCAAGGAGTAATTTAAGTAAGGATTCCTATAATAATATTCTCCAACACCTCTAAAATTGAAATGTAAATTCTATAAAACAGCTACTAGACCATCACGCTTTTATAAGACAGAATGCCAGACGGCTAAGAATCAATGTAACAAAAGGAGCGTGGTTGAAATATAAATTTTAGGAGGATGTTTGGAAAAACAAGAAAAAGAGAAAAGAAATGAAGAAATTTGTGCAACAGTTAAAAGTAGCAGCAACTAGAGATATAATGAGGGAAAATTGATTAAGATGGTATGACCATGTATACAAAAATTCGAAAACGAATAATTGCACCAGCCGGAAAAAATTATGTGTTCCAGAAAAAAGGTAATGCTAGAGGGAGAGGAAGAGTTAAAATTAATGTGAATTGATATTGCAAAAGATTTGATAGCATGTGATTTGATTGAGATTACGGCCTCAGATAGAGCAGAGTGGCAAAAGAGGATTTCAGTATCCAAATAATTAAGAAAAGGCTTTTGTTGAGTTGAGTATAAATTCACATAATTTGAAGAATAGTAACTTGCCAAATAGTATAGAAAAACAAGTAACTAGCTAGGCAATAAAATATAAGTTCGCATGAACCTTTTTCACAGTTTAATCATAATTGGCAATAAGTACCAAAGTACCAACCTAAATTTGGAAAGAATTCCAATAAGTTGAAAAAGCTTTCTTGAGAAAAACGGTTCCTTTAAATCCTCCACACTGGATAAATCAGCTTCAGTGCCATCTACAGGAACAGCAGAACTTATATAGTTGATTTTAGAGAAAAATATACCATTTTCATTCTGAATTGTGTTACAAATATCATAGAAGTACTAACTGGATAGTGGTGCTAATCATCCACACACAGTTTAAGGATACAGTATACTTTTATACACATGTACTATGTAATGATCTTGAGGATGAAAATAATGACTAAAAGACCACGGATTGCAACAAGGAAGTTTAACACTTAATAATACCTTTCATGCATCCACAAGAAAACATTGAGGCAGCCTGATTCAGATATCTATCAGACAAAGATTCATCACCACCATTTCCTTCTACCTCTATCAATTCATTTCTTTTAGAGTGATCTCCCTTTAAAAGGATGCGGCTAGCCTTTGACAAGAGCAAAAAGGTAAGTTGAAAACTTCCAGTGATCTCCCATAAAAACACATGCAGTAACCTATTCTATGGAGACTAAAATCACAAGCATCTTTAAGACAGCCTTTCCTTGTGACTAACTGGAATTAAAATTAAATGAACAAATTATAGCAGACCTGTGACAAAAACATCCAGCAGAGAAAGTACAGCTTGCATGATTTCGAAACAACCTCAAGAAGTAATTCAATGAATAAAAATACACATGAGTTGGCAAAGGCAAATTTGTGGCCCTGCCTCAGCAAATCTGACAAAGGCCCAAGAGGAAGAACAAATATATGAAAATAAATAAGACTAAAGATGACCACACAATTAGAAGGTTGGTGGGACTAAAGACAAAAATCATAGAAATTTAGTCATCAATTCATAAATAAAATTAAAAGGTTCCCCTAGTTCTAGTTTTTTGTCAAACTTTATAGTATTCCCGTTTCTTTTTACAATATTTTGCACATGTCCATTCCACCACCAAGTTTCCTTTTGATTCTCCAAGAAATATTTTGATACAGTTTTAATACATTTAATCATCCTATTCCATATTAAGTTTATTTGATCTTCTACTTTCCATGTTGATTCTTTTAGCATCCTATTCTTAAATAATTCTACTTTATCCCCTCTCAAATTCCATCACCTAGTTCTTGGGTTTAATGTTCTATTTCTCCTTTAAGATTTGATTTAATTATTAGTCCACAAGAGATGATGATTACTGTTACAGATTTGGTAGCAGTTAAAAGGATTAACATCATCCTCTCTTCTTATCTCACTTTCTTTTTCGGAAAATTCGGTTGATGAATTGTCACTATAAAACAATCAAACAATTATAAAATAAACGGACAACCTCTATGGATGAGCCCTCGGTAGCAGAGACTAGACAAAGGAACCAAAACTATCACAGTATTATGTCCCTTTCTTCTCATGTGCACTACATAAGTTAAGTGAGAGAGCCTATGATTGGGATCTTTATATTTAGCTATGAGCCCACTAATTCTCTAACTTGTATCAAACTAGGACACCTAGTCCTTATCAAAATTTAGTATCAAATTTATCTCTTTATATAAATAGGAAATGGAAGCCCATAATTGCAAGTGCGCCCACCAATATATTAACAAAGAAAAACTAGAGAATAAGCTATTTACAAGAGTCCATTCTGGCATCTTTTTGCTTATTTACAAGAGTACATTCAGGCCGTGTAAACACAAGACTCGTATTTAAATCTAAAAGATAATTTGACTCATTTGATGTTTCAGTAAACATTTATACAATTTATATATTCAATTAAACACTTCATCAAACAAAACATGCCAAATTTAATAAGTCCAATCCAATTAAGTCTTATTGGAATAACCTATTTGTTGTTTATTTGAACAAGTGCAGACTTCCATGTTGAACATCTATATATACCTTATATACTATTCAAGCAACCCAACCATGCCCTTTTATGGCTCATAATTGAACAAAACCGGTTGGCAATGTCAACATGACATCATAAAGATCATACGATCTTCTCAGGTCTAAGGATACAAGTATTTTACTTGACAGTGATTTCAGCATAGAAATTATTCTAGATTTAGTTCAACACATTTAACTCATTATATGTACTCATATATTGCCTAGAAATCAACTATTCCAAACAATTACATAAAAGGATCAGCATTATATATGTTAGTCTCCAAATGAAATGTTCATCTCTTCACTTGTGACTAAGAAGAAAATAAAGTTTAAGAAAAACAAGTACCGGAAAAACTGTCTTATCTTTTATGATTCGATAAATCATTCAAAATAATTACCAATAACTTAACCTTGGATATATTTAATAAGTACATACATGAAGACAATAAAATACTAAAATTCAAAATTAAATGAAACAATAAAATAAAATAAATTTAGTTTTTGAGGGCATATATCTCTAAACAGTTCCCAGTCTGAAACTTTGAGATAATCATCCAAACACCTCGCATGTCTCATTTGACATTGTCACGTCCATAAACTTCTAAAAGAACGAAAAGAACACAACATAAATGCTTGAACGACTCGTCATCAAACCACGATATGGAAATAGCAAGTATGTCATCTTAGAGAACCATTTTTTTCTTTTTCTTTTTGGGTGGGTTTCATCCCAAAAAAGTTTAATGGCATTCAGATATTTGCTACATGTTAAGTTCAGAAATAATAATAACAATAATAATAATAACAACAATAAATAGAGCATCTTTATTACAATGAAGAACAGTACAAAAACAAATGAGGAAATAATGAAAAGATTTGAATAACCAGCTAAATAAATTGAATTCTATAATGGCTTACATGTAACGTTCCCCATAAGCCGATAGTCTCCATACAAAATATCAGATTACTATGCAGTTTGCGAAGCGATTTTTTTATGCTCTGAAGACGACTATGTTCATCAGTCTTCATGCTCAACATAGAGACACACTGTTTGAACCACAAAACACAAGTAAATGTCTGCTTGAAGCCTTGAATGAACAAAGTTTATTAATTGAACAATATTTCAACATACATGGTGTTTTATCTCCTCAAGTTTTGTCCTATAGCAAATCATATGAGGGCAAGATGAATTGTTTATAACCGGTCCATAACGATATATTTTAACTTTTGGAGATGCCACAAATTGTTCCAACTCTTCCTTGTCTTCAACAGTGTAAACCTATGAAATAAAAGAGAGAATTAATAAAAATTTGCTATATAAATTTTGTTTCAAGGAATAGAAACACTCTAGATCTGTATATCCACATGCCCAACCCTGGGGAAAACAAACTAACCTAGAGCTTGATTGGTTAAAGAAACTATCCTTCACATAAATTATATCAGCATAAACAAAAAGTCACATTGACTAAATATTTGAATTAAATTTTTGGTAGCTTAAACAACTCACCTTAGCATGAAGTAAGGTTTCAAGACTGTTGATGGAACCACCTGATATATAGTAACATAGCAACATGACTTCTCCGTCAAACAAAAGAAACATAAATTAACAATCTCCTAGGCATGAACTACGCAACAAGAACAGTTCATGCATAATGGAAAGATATATCAACCACAATTAAACTAGTTATGAAAATTTGAACTACATAACAGGTACAGCATATCCGAAATTCAAAAGATTTCTCATTCATCAATAGGATGGTGGTAACCTTGACAAAGATCATATAACAAGAAAAGTTCTCTTGCCTATAAAGATTATTATCCATTACATATGCTAGGCATATTTGTTCTAAGTTCCAATCTAACAACCCCAAGAGGGGAAAAAAAAGTTACAACCAAATTGATTTAGAAAGGGTGTTGTATATCATAATGTCAACCGTAATGCTCAAAATTTAATTGATAAGCATTTCAAAATAAAAATTATGCATTAAATATTTGTAAGATAGTATTACACAAACAAAAGACATGACCGTTGGAGTCAGCGATAGAGAGTATTTACTGTAGGAATCAAGACAAGTCAACTTGAGATTTCCATTGGGCACAGACGAAGAAAATCTTCCCAAATAGCTATACTAACGCAAAAGAGGAAATTTACCATAGGGGTGTCAGTAAAAACAACATCAAGAGAAACAAGTGAATTGTCAGCTATTGTAGGCTTATATTAGGCATCAAGTGATCAACATTAGACCTTTATCTTTTCATCTGGATCATGGCTGAATTACAAAACACATACAAAATGAGATTCCATAGTTTATACTATTTGTTGATAACATTGTTTTGATTAATGAAAGTAGCTTCTAAATTAGAGGTCTCACAAGACTCTCCATAATCAAGAAAGTTAAAGATGAATATAACAAAAACTGAAGTTATGAAATAGCTTTAACAAAACTTGGAAATACAAGTGCAGAGTAGTGAAAATTGAAGGTCAAGAGATACCAAAAGGTGAACACTTCCATTGTATAGCTTCAGCTATTTAAAGAGATGGAGAGATTGGAGAATATACTACTCAAGGAATTATGGCAGTATGGGTTTAAAAGTATGAGTGCTAGCATATTGTGTGCTCACCTCTAAAATTTAAAGGTAAATTCTAGAAAGTAGCCATTAGATCATCCATACTTTATGGCAAAGAATGCTGGACAGTTACAAAAATGTTCATAAAATGAGAGGGTTTGAATTGTGGATACTGAGATGGGAACAAATAAAAAATTACTACATTCATAAAATGGTTAAAGTAGAACCTGTTGAAGATCAAATGAGAGAACACTGACCTAAGATGGTTTATCCATATGCAGTGAAAAGTAATAACATCAATGAGAAAGCGTGATGTGGCCTCCTAATTGAAGGTAATGCTCAGAAAGGCAAAGGAAAAAATTAACATGGACTGAGGGGTTTATGGCCTTAAAAAGAGCAAAAATGGCAACCGACCCCAAATAGTTGGGAAATGATTCTAAATGGACTGAGGGTTGTCGAATAATTCATTGCTATAAGGCTTATTTATGATTCTAAATGCCCATAAGATCCTGAATGAAAAAGACATGATAACAGTTAATTAAGGTCAGAGGGGCCTCAAATTGGGGAATGCTCCATCAACGAACAAATATAACAATTAATAGTAAACATATGACAGGCAAAGGAGTCCAAGGTGGGGTAGTTTTTCAGAAAATAAATGTCAAAAATGATCTTTTCCATGGATACAGATTAAAAATTAAACTAAGAAAAAGAATTTTTAAAACAAATTTGGAAGCGAAGGTTATTGCCTGGTTATATCACAAAAACCCAAGGAGCTAAGCATAAGATCATGGATTCAAGTTTCACCTAGTCCGTTGGGAGCATGTTTGTAGGCCGATTCGGAATGGAGGGTTGGGGCTTAGAAGATTGGTGCGTTTCAATAAAGCTCTCCTTGGGAAATGGTTATGGAGGTTTGGGGTGGAGAGGCATTGGCTTTGGAGGAGGATCGTGGTGAGCAGATTTGGGGAGAGTAGAGGAAGGTGGTGCTCTCTTGAGGTGTTTGGTCCTAGGGGTGTGGTGGTTTGGAAGTTTATTCGAAAGGGCTGGGTTGATTTTTCCAATCATGTTTGGTTTCGTCTCAGGGATGGTAGGCGGATTAGTTTTTGGGAGGATATCTGGTGTGGGGACATCCCTCTTGCTCTTGCTTTCCCTCGACTGTTCAGGATTGCTTCGGATAGGCAGGCCAGGGTGATCAACTGTTATCATCTTGATAATGGGAGATTGGTTTGGGATGTTCGATTCAGGCGTCTATTTCAGGACTGGGAAGTTGACGATGCCATTCGTCTTCTGGAGGTTTTGTATCGGCAGGGTGTTATGGTCGGAGATTCTGATATTTGAATTTGGGCTCCCAATGCTCAGGGTCACTTTAATGTGCGGTCTTTCTTCAAGTGTCTCACTCAAGAGCCTGCAAGTCCTTTCCCGTGGAGGGCAGTTTGGCGTTCTAAGGCTCCTCTTAAGATGGCCCTCTTTGCTTGGACCTCTGTTTTGGGAAAGATTTTGACTCAGGATAATTTGAGAAGAAGGAATCAGGTGGTAGTTAATCGGTGTTTTATGTGCCGTCGGGATGAGGAGTCAGTGGACCATCTTCTTTTGCATTGTCCTGTGGCCAAGGATTGTTGGGATTTGATGCTTGGCTTGTTTGGTTTTCTTAGGGTCATGCCTGGCTCTGCTGGAGGTTTTATTGAGGCTTGGAAAGGCTGTTCTGTGGGGGCTCACATTCGAGAGGCTTGGAGGGCCACGCCTCTCTGTATTTGGTGGTGCATTTGGCTTGAGAGAAACAAGAGATACTTTGAGGGAAAAGAGTCTCATATTTCTATTCTGAAATTCTCCATTGTTTCCACTCTTTATTGTTGGGTTTCGGGTAGAGATTATAGATTTTTTGAGGACATTGTTGATTTTTTTGGCCTCTTTGAAGGCTTAGTGGTTTTTGCTTCTTGTTGTTCCTTTGGGATGCGCTCCCCTTTTGAGCGCTTTTTTAATACAATTCTTACTCATCAAAAAAAAAAAAATTGAGTATAGAGAACAAGCCGTGTCACCAGGACACATAATTCAGCATCTTTTCTTGCACAGGAGATAAAATATAGACAAGTGTTGAATGGCATCTTGGGTTTTAGCTCATTTATGACAGCCATATTATTATCATAGTTACATTTTAGTCCTAAACTTCTACCAGACTTCAAAATACACCACATGAGGTGTAAAGAGTAATAAATTCAAAACTCAAACGTTTAAATAAATGATCAAATTTATAAGTCCCAAAAATATATATTAAGTGTACATAAATAAGTGCACAGACACAAACAAAGGCACACATATAATTGCCTTACCTTTTCCTAACTTTGGAGATGCAGTCATGCCAAATACACGAGGAAGTGTTATGACATCACTTTTATAGAAAACCTACATAATTTCCAACATAATCTACATGTCAAAAAATCAGAAAATGGCAATCAAAATGATATGTGTACGATAAGTAATAATCTCTCTCTCTCTCTCACACACACACACACAAAAATAAAAAGCATTATTTTGAGTAGTTTATTACCTTCATGATTTCTGCATAAGGATGATTGCTTTCAAGCTGGGCATGATGACACTCGTCAAATATCAGAAGTGCAATTAGCTCAATCATAATGAAACGGTGGCTTAAATTATGTAGTAGTATCTGAGGGGTCATAACAAGAACCTGCCCAGGAAAGCACGAATCAGGATGACCTCGTAGCAACAATAACTGCACTTTTTCGCGGAAAGCATTGTTTTTTCTTCCATTCTTTAACTATGAAACTTGAAGACATAAAGATAATGGAGTTTTTGTTTCTAGCGTATTGAGAAAACTATATAATTAGGAAAATAAATAAATCCTAGTCAAGGTTTTTGAAATTCTTACAGTGAACTCACCCAGGGAGCAAATACAACTTATCAAAATCATGCCATGCATGTAATATATCAAAACTACTAAAAGGTACCTTTTACATGACCTTTTAGAAGGTAAAATACAACAAATCTGACTAACCTCGTATTTTTCCATCTCATTTACCCAGTCACGATGGCTCTTCAACTTAGAATTCCCACAATAGGTCCCAACGTTAAAATCAATGGAGTCTTGTATGACCTTGGCTTGCTAAACACAGGGAACAAAAAATATAGTGATTCCTAACATGTATGGTACAAAAATATAAATTCAGCCATTTCAACCAAATTTCATACCAATTACCAAAAATAGGGCTTCATAAGTAAAGGAAAAGTACCCCGAAACAAATTTGGTCATCCCTTTTAAATCAACTAAGTAGATCCATAACAGAAGTAACATCAGCCAAAAAAATATAGAAAAAGAAAAGGACAACAACTAGCTACGTTACATAGAAGGAAGACAAACAACAATATGAAGAAGAATCAGCATATTATTCTGGATAGTTCATGAATCACATGAGGAAAAAACATAAAAAGGAAGTGAAGATCATTGCAATGCACAAACATGGTTTGACTTATCAGTTTTAATTATATTAAAGAAGTCCATAATAAATAAATTATGCAGCTCACTTGGCATACAACATTTGAAGAAGAAAAGAAAGACCCAACATACCCAATATGACAGCCTAAAGACACTTATCAATATATATATAGAAGGCTCCCTGTAGACTTAAGCAACTAAAAGTAAAAATTGAAGCCACTTTGACAGGTGTAAGTGCCATGTTAATCCTATCCTCCTACATATCCCAAGTCAGTCTCGAAATAGTAGGTTTTTAAACAATGTACATCGTACATTCTAGGTTTCTGGTGCCACATGAAGGAGATAGGTGAAATCTATTTTGTCACAACAATTTTAATCATCATCAGATATATTGTAGACATTAGAGTGACTGAATAGGGAATATTTTATATCTTTCTTTTTAATCTGGTCATAGATTCTCTGGGCTACCTTTAGGAATTTAAAAACTCCAAAACCAACACATGTAACAAAATAAAGGACCAGCATTTTTCAATTACAACCACCAATACATCTAAGCTCTTTCTGGGGCCATGTTGCCCGTAGATTGGCATAATTCACAGACTAGATTTAGTGTAGTTGTTAGCAAATTGAGTTATGTGTTGACATAATTCTCATTAAAACATACTTGTATAAAGTGTCAGAGTGTAGAGTGTCCTTTTTTAGAGTGTCCTTGAGTTGATGAAGAACAACAGTTGAAGACACAGTGGACACAGAATGCAAGAATGGTTTATATTCAATCACTTGGATAGGTTAAACCGTTAAAGGTAAGTGATCTTAAATTGAAGTTGGTTTAGCCTATCTTATTCTTATCTTTGGGTTGGGGTTTAAAATGTTTTGAAAAAGATTTTTAGTTAAATGGTTTTTCAAAACTAAGTTAAAATTTTGTTTTATGAAAACTGGAATTATAACCTAGATTTTGTACACCTCAATCAATCGAGATAATTGTTCAGTCAATCAATCAAAGGATGTCTGGTAAGTTTTGATCAATAGATCCGATCAATCAAATGGTTGTCCAAGAAAATAAATTAAATTACACAAAGTTTCGATCGCAGGTGATTGATCGAAAACTTGCTAGTAAGGTTAGATCAATCGTGTTGAATCCTATATTCGTCAGGACTCTCGGAAATCAATGTTTTAATTGGTTTTAACAATCTAAAACGCGATGGACTTTCTTGTTGACTATAAATATGGGTTTAAGTCAGATTGAGAGCAAGGTCTTTCATGTATTAACATAGATAAACACTTTGAGAGGTTTTGTGAGAAGATCAAGAGTAAGTTTAAGAAAATTTTCTTTATTTTACACTATTATAAAGCTTCCTCATATATATTCAATCCAAGAATCAAATTAGTTATTGTTGGTTCATTGAATACACATCCAAGAAACTATGTGATCAATTTTGCATCTAATCAATCGGAACACCAGAGCGCAGAGACGGCGAACAATCACTAGAAAAGCAGGTTCGTGAGGAGCCGATGTTGTTGACAGATCAGAAGAGTGACATGGAGATCTTTGAGGGTACTAGAGATTTGATATTCTACTGTGTCCAAAGATCAATTAGGAGTTCGAGTATGACAAAACTGTGACCTGGTTGTACATCTCTTTCTCAATAGTGAATTGTGCTTGACTGATCGTGGTCTCGTGGTATTTCACTCTCGTTTGAGGGTTTTCCACTTAAAGCGTGTCTCTTCTACCTCTCTTTACTTTACATTTTTACTGCTTATTGCATATTTGTGAACTAGAATTGAATTGCAAACTCATATTTCACAAGTATCAAGTTGGTCATTAATTGAATAGTCTAGATTAAGAAAAAAGCAGAAAATAAAAAAATAAAATAAAATAAATCACAGGATCTAATCAGTCCCCTCTAGGTCAGTAGAACGATCCTACCTAATTGTAGGTATTCAATTGGTGTTGTACCATATCAATTGATCACTCAGTAGCAAGATATCAGTTTCTCTTCCAAACCAATTCCATGGAATGAACCTAAACTTAGACAGCCCCCATTTGAATCCTTCACTCGATGGTAATTTCGGATAAGAAACTATATTAAGCATATGAACAAAAAGTTTTTCAACTGAATGAACCAGTTCCCCGCATTATTGTACAGCAATTTGTCAATAAGATAAAGACTAAAGTACAAAACCAATCAACAACAGTATCTGAAAAGAAAAAAAATAAAAAATAAAAACTCACCTGTTGAACCAGAGCTACCGTTGGTGCTAAAAAGACACATATGTTCTTCTGAGGTTTCTTGATCAAGTGACCCATCTCATAGATAAGCAGCACAGCAATGTGGGTCTTCCCACATCCCGTTTCGAGACAAACAATGATATTCTCATCAATAGCTTTCTTGCAGAGATCTGTCTGATACCTGAGAAAAAACGAAATAAAAAAATGAACTCCATTTTGCTTCCTTTAGTCGCCCAGAAAAAAATAGGAAAGTACATAAAAACCATTAAACTGTTGATTATCCAACACTAGATACATCCTATGTTTACTCATTCAAACATTATACAGCCATATGACATGGTTAGAGTTGAGTCTTTTTACTCTATCTTTTCTCTTTTTTTTTTTTATTCCACTCCCTGTAAACAAACAGATAGTATTCAAGAAAATCTTCGTTATTTAATTTTTTTTCGGTTTTCCCAGCAACCATGCCGATACAAGGGAAGAGATAAAAGTAAAGAAATCAACACAGAAACCCAATAACAAAATCAAAATGCAATTAGAAAACATCCAGAACCAACATTAAGATGTAAATTAAAATTTTCTGTTCTTTAATATTAATTCGTTTCCTCAACAGTCAAAACAGAAACTAAATTTTGATAAAAATCCGTAGTTTTTAAGGCATGCAGAGAGCAGGTTTTGAGACTTGCTCGCAAACAACTCGAAATTCGCTAAACAACGTTCAGACCCCCCTTCTTGGGAATCCAAGATTTTGATTTCTTCCAATTTCTTGAAAATAAAAGAAAAGAAAAGAAAAAAGGAAACCCACAAAGGAAAATGCGACAACATGAACCACGGAAACAACAAAAGGGCATACTTTCTAGCAATTTGTCTCGGGTCTTTGGAAGTCCTCCAATCTCTACTACTGGACTCCTCATCACCGTTCAAAGAGAGAGTTGAAAATCGCCCAGTGACCGAAACGGCCTGAGAGATGTCATTCTTAGGATCACCGCCGTCCATGGAAGCGATCACGGCGGTGGTGGTGGTGACCGGAGCTCCAGAGATAACTTTACTTTTCTAGTCAAGTGCGAATTTAAGTAGCGAGGACGAGGACAGACACACTTTACAGAGACTTTTCTTGCGAAGTGGGTTTAAGCATTAAGGCATCAGTCCTGACGACTTTGACGGACGAGGTAGTAGAATCTCGGATATATATATATATATATATATATATATATATCGTGTGTGTGACGCTTTCCCTCAAATGACGAAATTACCCTTCTCCTTCGAATTCATTCCCATTTCCCCCTGTTTAAAGAACTTTGGCGGATGGGAAAATTTTCTGAATTCAAACACGAAAATCTCTTGGTGGTACTATAATATTTTTTTCCTTTTATTTTGTTAGTTATTAATTGATGAGTCATTGTCATCAATTACTAATTACCCAAATAATTATCCTCTGTCAATCAATGTCAATAAAAGCTCAATGACATTAATGAAATTTTTTGCCCATCACCAAATGCTTTTAATTACTCCAGACTATTCTGTTTCTAGGATGATGATGCTAGTTGGTTCTCAGCATACTCTTACACAATCTCTTAAGTCTTAATCCAAAATGCAAAGCCATTTTAGAGTACTTGTGTTATAATTCAGTGAAAATTTTAAAAAATAATCTTAAAATGTTAATTATATGAAAATGATTATCTTTTAAATTCAAAAAATATGGAATAAATATTGTGTAAGTGAAAATGTAGATTCCATTAAAGGCTTAATAAGTTTGTGACTGTTTGTCATATAAATTTATATTTTTTTCATTTCGTTAAGATACTACTACATCAAGACCGAGAGCCAAACAAATTCACGAGGTACGCGGTTATACATTTATTTGTTATTTGCTTTTTATTGTTTGAATCACGCATACATGATAAATATGTGCATGCATTCATTGCTTTTCATTTGTTTTACCACCTTAACATATACTTTGTCCACGCTGTGAGTCGTCCTTTGAATCAAGCATGGAACATAATATATTCACATTTTTACATGTACCAAGTGGAAAGGACGGATTCGTCATTAGGCTCGCTATCGCTGGTGGCAGGTGGGCAAAGAGTCTAGAGGACACCTAACCGAGGGGCGTAGTTTTATGCTAAAACTTAGTTTCACATCATACATTTAATTTGGAGGAATTAAAGAAATTTTGAGTTAGTTGTGGGAAGAAAATACATTTAATTTGCAAATTTCACGAGGATTTTAAAATGGTCTAAATGACTTCAAGTGATGAGGAAATTTCGGAAAGGTCTAATACTTTAGAGTTGCAATGAACTTATTGCATAATTAGTAATTCCAGTTAAACAGAACTGCACTTATCTAAAAACCATTGTTATTTTTGTTTGTCATTCCTTTTCTTATATTTGAATCTCATTTAGATCATTTGTTTCATTTCATGTATATTTTTCTTACAATTCTAAATCCAAAGCCATCCAATAAAAAAGTTTATTCCAAATGACATCAACGCTTTCCGTAAATTTTGAAACGCTCCCATCTTTTTTTTTTTTGGGTACAAGGACCCCCCCTCCCAAAACATATACTAGTAAATTATATAAGACAACGTGTCAAATACTATAATAAATTATGCACAATAATCTATATCTACAATACCATGTGGTTTAAAGAATAAATAGTATGTACTAATATAAATAATTACAAGTTAACCTTTAGCACAATGATATTCGGGATGGGTGTGCTTACCTTAACTTCCAAAGAAAATATAAAAAATAATATAATATAATTGCAAGTTATTTTGTCCAAATTCATTGAGTATTGAAAATTTTATTTATTTACTTTTTTATAGTATGTGTCATCTAAAGAGATGAATTTGCATCTATTTTTCCTTCTTTTCAAGTCGCCAACTCAACAATGAAACGGGGACATCTGAATTTTAAATGAAACAACTCAGGTGCTTGTGATAACCACAAAATTCGGCACCAATTATATGCATTGCAAGCGAATATTGACCTCCAAATAATGTAATAGAAATAGCTATTTAGTACCAGGTGTTCTCCAGATCTTTGACACACAAAAACAAGAAATAAATAAATAAATCACCAAAGCAATCGGGGAAAATTATTAACAAAATGGTTAAGGGAAAACTCAACTAAAATGATCAAATTTGGGAAAATTATTAACAAAACGGTTGTTTTATTGCAAAAAGCTTAGTGCTTTGACAGTGGCGGGAAATATTTCCACAATCAAAATAAGAAACTAAAGAAAATTCAACATCCTAACTCCAAATAACATTGCTCACAATAAATCAATAATAGATGTTCACAACCTGCTATAGAAGTGGAAACCCATGCGATTTGACTGACCGCAAAAAAAATAAAAATAACAACAAAATAATGGAAGCAAGCAAAAAACTTTTGCCGTAGTTTGTTCGGTGCAGTTGGAAAATCTCAAAAGTATCAAGTGGTTAGAATGTGACTTCCGAGATTGAGGCACCTGCTTCATTGAAAAATTTAGGTTTGTGCCCATCCACGCTTCCAAAACCTTGGATTGACAAGACCAACATCAAGTGGTAGCACATAGGCAAAAAGCATTGCAATCCAAAAGCTTGTCCTTGTTAAATGGAATTCAACCTCATCAAGACAAACTAAACCAGGTCAGACAGAGATGAAGGTAGTCAACCTCATCAACACATACTCAACTAGGTCATAGATGGCACTCTCCGCATCCTTATTCCTTTCCATATTGAGATGAAATATGTAATAAAATCCAATAAACCCATTCCATAAAACCAAAATACAACCCCATTCACTTGTTTGACATATACAACTTCTTAAAGATAATTTCATAAACTATATTAATAATTTCAAAAAAAAAAAAAAAAGTGCTAGAATTCTTGGCCAAATCATCCAAATTTAATAGAAGATTATAGCCCAGATACTAGCCAAGTTCAAGCAAAGGTCAAGCGATATTTGTTTGCAAACAAAACAAGCAAACATACAAAGACTTGGTGCAGAGTTCAACTGATGATAAAGGCTGTTCCTCATATACTAATAAAAAAATCTGGAAATTGATCTCAAAGTGTTATTTATTTATATATATAATTTTTTTTTTTTTTTTTATAAGTAAAACATAAAGCAATCTCAAGTATAACTATACTAATCTAGAATCTGGACGCCAATGTAATGGACCCAGTCCTATATAATCATTAACCATATTAAACTGCGATGATTAAAGAATGTTGAAAAATTGAAACCTCAAATTTCACGTGGCGTAACAGCAGAGTCAGGCCTCACACGATTCAGCCGAACAGTTCCAAGAATGTATTCGGGGAGTTCTGCCTCTTCTTTTCCCTGCAGACACAGCCAATGTCGTTATCTAGTTCGTGTATGTCATGCATGTATTCGCGATTAAATAGGAAGCAACTCCACACTATATCACTAAAGCAAAACCAAAAACATCTTCCTGTCTCCTCAAACACAAAAAAATTATCCATTATAAACCACAAATATAATAAAACAGGAGGCCAAAAGAGAAGACAGTTTTTTCATAAGACCACGATGTCACGCTCTTACAAAGTAGTTCTAATTACTTCAAATACACTGTTTTACACTTTTGCAATTAAAGTTCCAGTTTTTTCAACAAGTTTCCACTGAACATAGAGTTTTAAATTGAAAAGTTGCATAAAAGCCATTTTTTTGTCCTGAGACTCCTTACACTAGATCTAATTTCGTTTATGTTGCTAATATTTCACATTTATAATTAAACCTTTCAGCCTGAAGGTACTCAGGTAACTGTTTTATTCTAATAATCAATTCAACCTATAGCTATAAGTAAAAATTTATGATTTGCTAGACAAATTGAACGGTAAACCCCACTCCTTTATGTCATACCAAGAATTGTACTAGTACACTACTATTCTGCACTAAAGTTGAACATCTAAAATTTAGAGATATTAGGCCAAAAAGTTATGCAATAAAATAGCTGTGTATAGTAATGTTTATGGAAAAGTCTAAATTTAGCCAGTGAATGAAAGGCAGGATGCAACCTTTTTTCGGTAATTTATTATTTATTTTTCAAGGACAAACAATAAGAATCAAACTGTAACACACCCCTCCCCTCTAGATGCCATATTGGCATTTTACTATTGATAAATAAACTATTCACCAGAACAGTTTAGCAATTTTAAGAATATATAGGATGTTAGCAATGCGACAACTATTTCTCTTTTTTTTTTTTTTGTTGTTATTTGACTACATTACATTACTTTTTTAAAAAAAAATAAAACTAAAATTCACAAGCGCCCCACCCCCCATCTTTCAAATATACACATGCAAAAAATTTTCTAGCACCTGTAACAAGAACGTAGAAACTAAAATCCTCATAAATGTAAAACACATTCGTACTTTGGATACCTGTATAACCATCGAAAAAAATAGTATTCTTTGGTGAATATAAATTATATATTTTTACTGATACTGAAACCTCATCCTTATTTGGCAATATTCAATTTCATTTAAGGAATTAGTTATAGTTCTAACACCTTAAGGAATAATATATTTCTTGATAAGGAACAGCTGGGGTAGCTAGATGTAATATGAGATGGTGAAAGTTTTAAGATAAACTGGGAATTTTCAGATACTGTCCTTATTCTATATGCCCCACATGTAAGAAGTTTATTGTATGGATTTGGAATCGAGAAGACTGACCCCATTGTTTATCGAAATTCCAAAATAATCCATGTCAAGGTAGAACTAGAAAAATAACAAAGATCTTCTGGCTTCTGACATAATTTTTTCAGTGAAAACATCTTGCATCAAAGAGTGTCAGGCTAAGCTATTGAAAACTTAAAAAACCTAATGAATCTCAATTCCACACAAGGAGTAGTGCAGAAGACCAACCGAGATGACAGTATTGCTTCCACAGAATATTAAAACATCCACAAACCTCTATTAAAATTGCAAGATCAACAACAATGCTTGTCACATATCCAAGGACTAGACCGATCACACTTTTTGCTACGGATGATGAGCCAATATCCACATCAATCTGCATGACAGGTTTTCAGAAGCATCTCAGTAAATTGAATACACAAAAATAACACACAGCTATTTAACCAAAAGTTTTGATAATCAGTAATCAAGATTAATTGCAGCCGAGTTAAGAGATCAATTGAATCTTGAAAGTACCTTTCAACCCAAAAATAATTGGCCAAAAGACGACCCAAATAATGCATTAAATGCACCACAAAAGGTTGATAAAGATTAAAAAAGAAGAAAGATATTGCACTAGCTTCAAAAAAATAGGTTTCAGTACAAGGACAATCAGTTTGTCTAATTGATAACAGAAATTAGGTCTCTACCCAATTGACCCCTCCTAACACCCCGAATTGGTGGGACTAGAAATTGTTATTGGGCTATGGCCACTTATTATTCATTTTGCATCATATATTATGGATATTTCATAAACTATAATTCTATTAGTTCTGCAATCTCTCAATATTGGGATATGTGGAGGGATACATCACAATATAGTGGATATTTTAAGGGCAAACTACAATGACCTCCCCTGAGGTTTGACATAATTGCAAGTAAACCTGAGGTTCGGCATTTTGTTACAAAGACCCCCCTAAGTCAGATTTTGATGTGAATTTACTTATCTACCCTCATTATTATATTGTTAAAAAAATCCTAAAATATTTAACTACGTTAAATTACATGTTTGCCCATTTTAATTTTAATTTTATTTTTCTTTCCTCTCTTCTTTGTTCCTCCTCTCCTCCACCCTAATGCCAGACCCATACCCCACGGTCCCCACCTCCTCCCCCACCATCACCGGCCACAATTCCCCATCACAGCTACATCTAAAAGCACATATATATTTATATACACATATACATGTATATAACCCAAAGCGGCAAAGGCCATGGCTGACTTCTTTTTTTCTCATCTTCTCTCCGCCAAACCAGACCCACGCCCTATCCTTTCACCACCACCACCGGCCAACACTCCCATCACCGCCACACCGGCAACCGTCGAAATGGGTGGATAGAGAGAGAGAGGGTTAGAGGGAGAACTAGGATTGCTGAATTTGGTGGCCGCTGGCACCGAAGATGGAGCGCACTCACCTCGCCGTCGAATTTGGCAGCGATCCAACCACTTTTGAGAGAGAAAGATCTGAAAACCAATCTTTCTCATTCAGACAACCCGAATCCACCACTTCAGTCATCCTATTGGCCATCTTAGCAAACCCTGCTTCAATTTGATGTCTGTCACTTCCAGAACTGAGGCTCAAGACTGACTATATATATCCCAGCAATTTATATATACATACATATATATGAGTACACTAATAACTGAAGTTCTCAGATAGGTGAGAGGAGAGAAAATGAGAGGGAGAGAGAAAAGGGCAATTTTATACCTTACAACAAAGGTTTTTTTTTTGGTAATTTGATTACACATTAAGGTAATAGTGTCTTTTTACTTTGTTAAAGGGCATTTTAGTCACTTCAACCAAATTTTATGACAAAAATTACCAATTATTGTTTGGAGGGGAGGTCTTTGCAAAAGAAAATCAAATCTGAGGGGGTGTTTGCAACAAAATGACAAACTTCAGGTTTACTTGCAATTAAGCCAAACCTCAGGGGAGGTCATTGTAGTTTGCCCATATTTTAATTATTATTATTTTAAAGAATATTGCAGAAGTTCAAAATTTAATAGTTATGAATATTCTAATCTAACACAAACTAACAAGTAATATACATTTTGGATTTTAGTAGTATTGATAAGAAAGAGGTACGGACGTAAAAAAGAAAAAGACATTGCATCAAAAGGAGAGGAAGATAGGCGAGCACGCTGAGGAGAGGTAAGAAACTTTCCAATCAGTTTGTGTCTGATTTACCATTCCTTTTAGTTGCTAAAAGTAAAACGCATCAACATCAATTTCTTATTATCTGTAATGCAGTTCCAACATTATTAAATACCTCAAATCTAATTTAAGCGAAATAACAGTGTTTCATTACCTCCAAAAAATTGTCTTGCCTAAGGTATCTGCAGGTTACCGCTTTCCCTAATAAGCAAGCTTTTGTTCCAACTGCACGCTTAACCATCCAATATCCCTGTCAAAAACAGTAGTTGCTGAGTACCATGGAAATATTAAACAATTCAAGTGGGTGAAAATAGACAAGATCTTGATACTGGAAAAACTTCAAGTGGATGAAATTAGACAAGATCTTGATACTGGAAAAACAATTCATACCTCAACAATACTTGGAATTAGTTTAAATCTTGAATTGCGAAACGCATCTGTCCCATCAACAAATTTACCCAACAACGAATTCTTATCTACAGGCCTGTCTGCGGCATAGTAAAGAACTAGGTTGTAGTTAGGTCTTGCTGGAACCTGAAACAGTAAAACCACCAAAATTTCTTCCCTGAATCCTTGAATTGAATTTGGTAGCATAGAAAGAAAAATAAGATAGAACAGATATTTCACATTGTTAACAGTAAAAACGTTTAAGCTCATAAAAAGTCCAAGTTCAACCTTAAGTTTTCCGTCGTCAGCACCTTTGATATGTAGAAGCATAGCTGGAAGGTATAACAATTTTTGAAAATGCGAGTGACTAAATAGCTTAATATTGACAGATTTTCCAACACATTCAGTATCATTTAAATTTTCTGTTTAAACTAAACTCCTTTTAGAAATCAGGCCAACTTCCAACTAGATTCCAACACCTGCACCAATTCTTCAAAAGAAAAGACAGTACGCCCATGTACCAGAGGTGGACATGATAATAACTCAGCTCTGGATCATTTTAGTTTTCCATTTAAACTTTCATTGACTTCTAATACTGCACCTCCTTTTTTTGTCCCCAGCCATACTCTAAAAAATTCTCCAAATGTGAATTATAAACTTACTATTATTTCTTCTGAATAATAGCTATCACATAAAAACACTTCACTACCACTTACAGGATAAAGAACAGAACTGATAAACCCTTGCTCAAAGCAAGCTACATGATTTAAAACAAATTCAGAAAAAAGAGATCAAATAACATTCTTATACACACCTGGAGATTGATGATGATAATGAATGGCAGTCTTTTTCCAGCTTCTGACTGGATTGAAAAAACATTATTAGAGAAAACAATCACATTTAGAAACATGAACATATTAATCGAAAGTCCAAAAAAAGGGCATATATTTTCAAGTCCAATGGAATCATCTTTCACGGTGCCATATAATCTCAAGAAAGCATTTTATTTTCCAGTTTGATGGAAACATCTATCATTATGACATATAATCTCAATAACACATTATTTTCAAGCACTTAACAAAACCACAATAATCCTACATAAATCAATTTTAAAATAATACAAAAACAATGGCTGAGTCAGACAATTTTAGTGTTTGGATGCTCCCAACGAACTACAGTACTACATGAACCACCCTTTAAGCCTTGTCAGACATTGTATTGTGAGACTTTTCTCAATACAACAGCCGAGGGGTACACTCACGGTGAGAGCACCCCCAAGATAGCTTTTCCATATCATAATCCATCAAGCAGAGCTTCTTTTATGAGCACAAGTGGAGCAAATTTGTACTAATAAAAAACAAAATTTACACGAAATGGCATATCGTAACGTTGTGTCTCAATATCCCTATTGTATTCATGAACAGATTTGGGAAGAAAATCTATCTGTTACCTGAACAAGAGAACTGGGATGCAATGCAACTTTAGGGATGCTATTGTCAACCTTAAACCAGTCAACGGCTAAGAGTTTAAGAAGAGGATCCCCTCCTGTCACCTGTAAATAGGTTAAACATAAATTAGTCGATATATAACATAATCAATTTAATCTTGTATTATCAAAAAATAGGATGCAAACTTATATTGTAATCTATTGTAACTTTTTAACGAATTAGGATCACTATATACTATCTCCAATTTTGTTGCAATTGACAAGCTATCCGATTTTTCTAGTTGGTTCATACTGCTTGATCAAACAATGAATGAACATAGCAAAGAAAGGAAGCAGAAAGTTGGATGGAGAGATATAGCTCTAACAGTTCAATTATTAAGAATAAATATGAGACCTCAAAAAAAAATAATAATAATAAAATAAAATAAAGAGAGAAGAAAAACAACAGCAACAACTTGGAGTGACATAAAAATTCAAAAACCACACTCAGAGAATATCAGCCAGCACAAAACCTTTGTCAACATCATTTTTATATTAATATGAAAACACTCTTCTCCATACTCCCCTTCAAGTAGGGTTCAAATCATTCTAAAGCAGAGAAAACACCAACCTTAGAGTTATCTTTCAGATAAGTTTTCCCTCGGATCATGAATCCCGTACCGCTTGGAGATGTCCAACAGTTATTGTCAGTCTCATCCTTCCCAAGGCGCAGCGAACCACGAAAATAGCTTGGATCAAGAATGATTGGAGGTACAGTTGTATCTAATTCCTTTTTTGAATCTGGAGATGTAGCCAAAAAAGAAGCTAAAAACTTTAAACTAATAACAAGATAACTATAAAAGGAAAAAAGAATAACAGATCACTGTATTACATAAAACTTTACATTATTAGCAAGGTCAGATCACTGTATTACATAAAGCTTTACATTCATCAGTAGTGACAATCATAATATGTTGCATCAGATTATACTTGTCACCAACATATGGATAAGATTTTTTCCGGAATCATTTGAAAAAGAAAAAAAACCATGTTCTATATGAAATAGGGAAGAATAGTTTGGAATTTGTCATAGTACACTATAAGAATGAAAAATCCCGTATTCCATGCAAGGACCGTCAAGTCCGATAAAGGAAAGTTCGTACATTTCAAAAAGTAGTATTCCAAACCAGAAGAAAATCCTTTGTGGTTTACACATATGCTCTTGACATTAGTGTGAAGGGCACCGTCAGTAAAAACATACACTTGAAATAAACAGATCTCCCCTTGATGAAAATACACAAGTTGCAATACTATGTATTTACGTCTTTAGCAAAAAGGAGAAAACCTGAAGTTCGCCTCAAAGCCAAGCTTGCAATGGCCCATGACACATTCTTCAACTTAACTTTTTTGCTCTGACAAAGTAGAAAGAACATGATGAATTTCCTAAGGCCTTTGATATGATACTCTTTAGTATGTTCAATCAAAAACCAACAGTTCCAATTTCCCACAAAAAGAAAGCAGAAGAGTGCAAACCTTACTATCGAGCTCTATCTCGTTATCACTGTCATCATCTTCTGATGATGAATCAGCAGCAATTGCATCATAAAACTCATCCGCTACTTCTGCATCATCATATTCACTATTGGATGCAGAAATATCAGAAATTTTTGAATGGACAACGGTGGTTGAAGACTCAAATGAGAGTGCAGGACTAGCTCCAATATATGCCTTCAAACCTGGACAATCAAGAACCATGAGAAAATCACACCGGTTAATTGACCTTTTAAGAACAATTGTTCAACAATATAAATGACAAGATTTGTGAAATTTTCAAGCATTCATTGTGATCTAGCATTAATACAATTATACTTTAAATTAGTTTTAGAGCTACAAAGCATTTCCCAGAAATGCAATAATTTATATATTTCTCACTATTGCTAACAAAAAATTAAAACAATATATATATATATATATATATATTTAGTTGGTTTCCATCATAGAATATAAAAAAAATTAACACTCATATCAGTCTGACTCATGCGATCTTATTTGAATCATTGACAAACCTGTGTTCTTTCCTTTACATTTTCTCTTGGTTTTCCATTATTAAGTTTTTGCATGTTAGTACTAGTATATTGTTACAATAGTAGAATTGTCCCAAATTAAACAGAAAATTTACTCTCACTTCTCATGTCTTTCATTTTATCCATCAAATTTGTTCCCATATCACTCTTATCAAAAAATAAATAAATTCCACTGTACAGTAGTGATGCCTCCTAAGCCATGGAGGATGCCTCCTAAACAGAAACTTTACTCTCACTTCTCGATTTTTAGGAGGCATCCACCATGGTTCTTGAGAATTGTATTGCCAAGGAGATTTTGAAGCAGCAATATGATAGGTGTGTTAACAACCATCTACTCCAAAAGCTTAAGCTGTTAGAGAGTAACTTCAACACGCCCCCTCACGTGTGGCCTTCTTTTGGTCCAACACGTGTTTTTCAACTTTTTAATTAGGGTGACGGTGAGGTTTAAACTCAAGACCTTTTGGCTCTGATACCATGTTAACAACCATCTACTCCAAAAGCTTAAGCTGTTAGAGAGGGTGTAACTTCAACCAAGTGAAAAGAGAAAAAAGAAAATCAGATAATCTAGTCACTCTACAGGAGTGATTTAGAGTAAAAGGGATCTACAAATGGACTTTGTTTAATCTCCACATTAAACAAAGAGCCCAATTTATTGGCAAGAAGAGGAGCTTTACCGAGGATTTTTTTAAGGGAATTTTCACTACCCATATGGAAAAATTTTAGGATATGCCAGTTTCATAAATACATTTAATTCATTAACCGGATGTTGGGAAACTCAGTGTTTGTGCTCTAATAAATGAAGGACTAATAATCCCTTTTTTTTTTGTAGTTTCCCAGTATATTATTACGTCTTTTTATCATCCTTGATTCCTTTCCATTGAAGTACCAAGAAGTGAAAAATAAACCAGGTGCATCATATTTGTGTTACAAATGGCATATTGACCATAGAAATTCAGTCTTAAAGAGGTTTAAATGATCCTGAGATCACTGGAGGTGGTTTAGCCAATCTGGTGTCTACCATGTGTATGAATAATGTAGAAAGTGTCCCTCATGAAGTAAAGGATTATGATTGGTTGGGGCCCACCTATCCTTGGTCTCCTCGAAACTGCTTGTTTTACCAGTTCATACAGACACACAAGAAATGACAAGTATAACCAACCTGAAACTTGGTTCAACAATGCATAAGGAACAGTCTTTTCGAACTTTGAGCATTGATTATTCTTCCATCTACTCCAGCCAACAGAATGCAACTCCAGTGTTAGTGTCACAAGGCAGCTCGCGGCAGTTGAACCATGGGATGTGTTAAAATTTCTGATCTCCCATGTAGAAGCTAAAATGAAAATGCATAAAGGTCAAGAGCAATCAAATTAAAGGGATAAAAGAGCAACCAATAAATTAACGAAAATACAAAACAAGTGAAGCGTCTCAATGATTGAAATGAATAGCATGCACCACCGCATTAGCAATTTCTTAAGGCTTCATAAGAAACTAATGTTACTAACCTAGTGATTTTATAGGCCATCTTATACTTCATTTGGTAGGAGGGACGGAGAAATGGAGGAACGTGATAGGAGGAAGGGTGGAAGAAGCATTCCCAAGAAAAGGGAGTGTGCTCATCTCTCCTATTGTTGACTTGAGTGGAAGGGAAGAAGAGGTGATATTATTATTTTACCCTTATACAATAAATTATTTAAATTAATACACTTAAATGCGGGTGTCTAAGTTTTTTTTATCTTATCCAACAAATAATTTTTCTCTCTACTTTTCCTCTCACTTTTGGATGGAATCAAAATGGAGAGTCTGGAGGGATACTTCATCCCTCTCCCATCCTTCTCCTCTTTCTCTACGTCTACCTGACAGTGGAATATTGTTTCATCCCTCCTCTCTTCCATCCCTCCCAATTCCTTCCCTCCAACCAAATGTGGCTAAAACTAAAATGACAAAACCAAATTCAAGTAACCGAGTCCAGGCAGCTAATGATTTATTAGATCAAACTAAAATAAGGCAGTTTCTTGTAGTACAGAAGGAACAGCAAATCCAACCAAGGGTTAAATCTCTCCTTTTCACTCTCTTGCATAAAAAATGCTTTAAAAAGGTGAAAACCAGATGCCCAAGATCCAAAACAATGAAAACTCTGTGCTAGAAACTTCATCACATGCAAAGTTCAGCCTTTAAAATTAAGTCTTTTATTTTTAATGTTTATTTTATTGATTAAATTTTTTATTTTTCATTTATAACAAAATGTATCCCGCTCCCTCTGGGGGTGCAACTAATACCTTCGGATATCCACCACAGGCATTGGATAAGCTTAGAGAGGAGGTTTTTTATGTCCCCTGGAATTGAACACACTCTAGGTCACATCGAGAGGCCTTAGGCCAACTTGGCTACCCCATGGGAGTTAAATTTGGCCTTTTTCCTTAAAGGCAAGAATATAGAATTATGTTATTAGATTCGCATATTGAAAAGCAGCAATTTAAACTATAATTCAAGGGGATGAAAAGCTAAGCATGCCATTAAAAGCAATTCAAAACAATGAATACTCCAGGAAAAAAAGAAAAAGAGTTTTTACAAAGGGAAATTCTTACGGTTAATTTTTATACGTCGGTATCCAGATTTTGGAGGTCGCTTCTTATGCACAGTTGGAAATTGCAATATTGCTGCATCAATAAATGCATAACAACTTTCAGTAAAGAGAACAGGTAAAAAATGTTGTATTTGTTGTATTCAAAGAGGAGATAGTTTCTGAGTTCTGAAAATGAATACAACAAAAACTTGTCATCTTTCTAGAAAATGTAACTACACCTGAAAATAAAAGATAATAGAGAAATGTATTTTGATTGAGGAAACAACCACAGTTAAGGCCAAAAAGTTTCAAAGTAAGCACCAAGAACTATAGTTTGCTTCCACTATAGAGCTTGAGGAAGAGAGATAAACTTTTTCCCCCTTTTGCCTTTTACTATGGCCACGGAGGCCTTAAATAAAATGAATGGTAGAACAGTGAGTTTGGGCATACAAGAGGCTTTTCAATAGGTGCTGTTGGCAGAGTTCCCATCTCAATATCACATAATATCTTTGAGCGGTGAATGGTGATACATTTATCTTCTATGGAGTTGGGAGGAACAGTTGAGATACGTTCAATACATTTTGTTGTGCTTTTTGAGGCAATGTCGAATTTGTAAGTGATTCATAAAAGTAAGCTAATTCATGTAACAGATGTGAGGAATCGAGTTGTCAGTCTGAGAATTTTGTGTGTATGGTGGATCCCTCTATGCTCTTTACTTGGACCTTTCTCTAGGTTCATTTCTTAAGGCAACCTAGGCGTGGGATGCAGCAGTTACACGATTAAAGACTGGAGAAGGGATTGGAAGGTTGGAGGGGGCAAATAATCATCAAAAGAGGACAAATAGGCTCTTATAAAAAGTACATTTTTTTTTTTTTTTTTTTTTTTTTTTTTGACAAGTCTTATAAAAAGTACAGTACTATTTTGAAGACTCCTGATGTAATTTTTATCTTCCCCCTGGTCTCGATATCCATCTAGAGAAGCTTCAGAAATTCTTTCTACACTGAGGTTTGTGCAAGGAATCACAAGGTAAATTGGGATACAATTCGTGTGCCCCTGAAGGAAGATTTGTATCAAAAAGTTTATATATATAGTTTAACCAAGTCCTAACAGACAAATGATTGTGGAGATATGCTCTGAAAGAAGACCAGCAAAGGGGATTGGATTTCTAGAAAGACTAGGAATCCATATAGAGTGACACTGTAGAAGGTGATCGCGAAGAAACGAAAGAAGTAATCCTATGTCAGATCAGGAATGGCTAATGGCAAAAGGATGAGGATGGTAGGATTTTTTTCTGCATATATGTTTCCCTCAGAAAGTTCTTTCCTGGCCTTCAGAATATTGCTGAAATAAGGAAGCATATATTGCATACTTCGCCAGGATTTCTCAGAGGGGTATTGTGCTAGAAGACTAGAACCCAAGGTGTAGAAAGAGATGCTTTCTAGAGCAGTCAGGATTAAGAGTTGGAACTTGTAGATGAGTTTCTTTAGACGCTTTTCAGCACCAATATATATACGCATGGAGGAGATACTTTGGGATAAAAGACTACAGGAAATAGCATCTCAGAAAGAACCAAATATGGGGTAAAGTGTTGGAAAAGGTGGAGAGTTTGAGGTGTTTTGGTAAGTGTTTGTTTAACTATTCCAATGATTCCCCTTTTGGAAAGAAAATATAACTTAACCATTGAGTTTTTCTTTTTCGTCTTTCAACAACAAAATCCCAGACTGACTTTGCTTTAAAAGAGCAATCAGAGCGCACCCCAAAAAAAAAAAGGAAAACAATCAACTTTGCACCTTGAGCCAAAGCCGCAGCATCACCAATCTCCTCCCATGGTATCACATCCAACTTGCCCAGCTTCACCCAGAACTCAGGAACTGCCTCAAGGAAAGTAGACACCACATATAGAGTGAAGGTACTTCCAATCAAACCCTACCAATACCCCTCTATATTAAAAACCTCAAATAAGATTGACACCCTCAAATTTTGCAGGTTAAAGCCTCCATCACAAGAATAGAAATCAAAGGGATTTCCTTGATTCAATCTTCTAGAGGATCTAATAAGGCCAAAGGAAGAGCCTAAATAAGATCTAGAGTGAACATGAAGAAATAAACCAAGACATTTCCACCCCAACAAGCGCCCAAAGACCTACTAAGCAAAAAAAAAAAAGTCAAAACTAGATGTTGTAAAGGAAATCAGAAGATAATTGTTCCTTTGCGATCCCTCATGCCAACACCAACTAAATAGAAGCATCACTGCTGCTGAATGCTGATTGGAGTATTTTGATGCTTTACTCGCAACTGCCCTGCAACTGCCCTATGATACTTTGGGAAATAATATGCCTACGGCTGAGCATGGTGCTCAGATTGAATTTCTTTTCAAATTTCGGAATGATAAGGGCTAATTTTACCATTAACAGAAACAGGCCATGGCATATTCTTAAATATGAGACAAAGGAAAACTACCTTGTGTGTCATGTAATCCTGTTACATATATGCACATAGAATAACAGGAATTTTTAGATCAGAGATTAAACTGAAATCTCTTACTATATGTTCCATCTTGTCCGCGAAACCACTGCCTAGAGAAGACAAAATCCCTCTTAGAATGCCATCTGCAAAACAAATTGAGAATGAGGTATTAACAAAAGAATCAATAAGAAGTTCCTACGAAGACCAGATAAAGAAAAACCCGACTTTCAAAAGGGAAAAGCTACACTGAGGGTGCCCTCGTCGCTGTTGGATCGGAAAGCTGTGACGTCAGCCATGTAATCCAACAGCAATTAGGGCACAAGCTCATTGCGCACCCTAGTGACAGACTTGTTCTTTTCACAACTTGGTTCATTCTCTTTGAAATTCTCTCTATAATCATCAGAAGAGGGGGGTGGGGTGGGGTGGGGTGGGGTGGGGTGGGGGGGGGAGAACAATACAAGTGATGGATTATTATAAAATAATTTTTTTAAAATGCACCATGTAATTATGGTAGCATAGTGATTCTCAAATTTCAGAAAATGTAGGTCTTAGAACATGCATATATCTAAGTCGAATTGCATGTGAGCTCAAGAAGTTAAAGACTTCAAAAAAACTATATCCTTCATCATTTTCCACTTGTATGTATACCAGACTGCCAAATTGCCAATAGAACCCAAAATGATAGGAAATTAGGAGTGAAATCTTTTTACCAAAGTGTTAAAGTTCCTGAAGGTAAAGCTTGCAAGATAACTGTTTCAACAGACCCCACCACTACAAAACACATCGCAAAAGGAGGTAATGGGACAGAAATATTTGGTTTTTTCAGTTCCATCTGAATGTCAATTCTAAGAAGACAGCCAAAAAACATGAATTGATAAAGATTGTCGCTTTTACAGCTACTCTTCCCTTTGTAAAAGGACCACTCACAAGGAGCAAGATATAATAGGGAAAAGACAAGGAATATCCATAAAGAGAGAATTTTTAGTTCTCTATTTTCTTTTTCACTATCATTATTATACTTTTTTATAAAAATATAAATGTGTGTGTGTGTGTAGAGCATTTGTGGCAGCATCCATAATGCCCAAAGAAATAAAAAAAGCAATTTTTTTAAGTATTATTTTTTAATCCTGGCAGATAACACATGCAGCCATGCACCCACATGCCCCTTGGGGACTTGAATCCTCAACCTTCCATCCACTTTGGAAGGTGAGAAAGTACCACTAAGCTATAGCCAACTCATCTAGAGATAAAATTGGCCAGATTCAAGAGATTAATATAAGAACTGGATGCACTTGATTAGCATATTGGGTTTATTAAATGGTATTTGAGGTTAAGCTAATATATGCTGCATAAGAAGTGGGAGGCCTTCGCTTGCTCATTTGAAGGGGCACATATATAGAACGCATGCAAAAGCTTAAAGCAAGAAGTTAATGGATAAATACCACTCTTCCTTCCACCAACACTTAGTTTAGTGAAGAGGTGATCAGGTGTCAATTGTCAAATGAGACTCACGCTTCCTATCAGATGGGGCTATGCAAGTAGGTTGCAGGGGATTTTTTCAAATTATTAGATTTGAAGTGGGAATGAGCAGAGGCTGCAGTTCCAGCAAGATCACAATGGCGCGTTCAATAAATGTGAATTTTCGAAAACTCTTCACAACTGTAGTTTATAGAGAGCAGTGGTTGCAAACCAAATTAGATTCAAAGACGCCAGTGTAGGCACCCAGTTTTGTGTGTGCCTAGCAGGAAAGGTAATTGGAGGTGGTTAAGTGGTTTCTAGTTTGTTGTACACCTCCACAGCATTTGGGTATCAAATGACTCCTTGAGGAAAATTCCTTTTTCTTTTTTTTTGTGTGTGTGTGTGTGTGTGTGTGTGTTGGGGGGGGGGGGGGGGGGGGGGGGGGGGTGGGTTCCACTAACTTCTCTAGAAAAGCTATGAGCTGTACGAGGCGAAATTCTCATATATGGTTCTCAGAGTCAGGGGCTTATTTGTTGTTACTTATATAATGTCGGGGCTTATGTGAAATTTCTGAAACTTGTTATTATAAATAGAATGTGGTGGAAGGATGAAAATATTCTTTCATTCTTTCTCTCTTCCCCATCTCTCTCTCTTTTTCTCTCATCCGCTTTCTTCTCTTTTTCTTCTTCTTTATCACTTACTCTTGATTTAAATATATCTTAAAGTCAACATGGTATCAGAGCATGGTTTGTAAAGCTCTAGGTGTGTAGTTGGAACCTTAGGGTTTTGAAGAGATTCCAAGATGGGATTTGTTTGCAAGGAAGTAGTGTCAATCACATCTACACGTACCACGGATCCAACTCCACAATGAGTTGGCTGGGGGTTACAGGGGGCAGCTCGCCCCTGCACGGCTGGTTTTTTTTTTTTTGTGTTCGTGGGGTTCTGCAACAGCGCTTTTTCTTCGTCGTTGGCAATTCTGGTATGGTCTACTTTGTTGCTTTCTAAGGTTTGTGTGGTGACTGTGTGGTCGTTTTATTATGCATCTCAAAAGATGGTAATCTTTCTAGTTGAAGTTTGTGTGTTAAAGAGGTGGTTCTCTACGTATTTTATTGTTGTTTTGGTTTCTGAGGATTGTATACCCAGAAACTGTTTGATAAAATGTCTGGCTCAGAGGTGACTTCAAAAGAAGCTAGGTCTTCGCCTAATCTGACTCCAGTATTGGGAGGTAGTAGTAATCACCATCCAGGCCTTTGAATTATGATTGTTAGGCTGGATGAGACGAACTATATGGAATGAGCTCAATCTACTCGTATGCATATCACTGGTCGTAGGATGATTGACCATATCGAAGGGACTGTCACTGAGCTCAATCTACTCATATGCATATCACTGGTCGTAGGATGATCGACCATATCAAAGGGACTGTCACATATCCCTCCAAGAATGATCCTGAATTCAAAGAGTGGAGTGCAAATAATGCACTAGTTATGACGTGGTTGTTGCAGTCAATGCAGCCACAGATCAGCAAAGGGTTTTTGTTTGTGAAAACAGCTAAAGAGCTATAAACGGCTGTGGAAGAGACGAATTTTTCGGTTGGTAATTTTGGAAAACTGTATGAACTCCAACAACAGATTTCAAGATTCAAGCAGGAAGACCAAACTCTTGCTACATATTACCACACTCTGTGTGCTAAATGGGAAGAGTTAGATCACTACCAAGACAACATACCTGTGTGTGCAGCTGATGTTAAAGCATTTCATGCTATAGTAGAAAGGAATCGAATCTATGAGTTCTTGGGTGGTCTGCATCCGAGATACGAACATGCCAGGGTACAAGTGTTAGGCAAGTATCTAGCCCCTACTTCTGTTAGCAATGTGTTTTCAAATATCAAGGCTGAGGAGAGTAGAATGAAGGCTATGTTTGCACCTGTATACACTAAGCCTGAGTCGGGAGTACCATTGTCTGAGAGCTTTGCTCTTGCCACACAACAATGGATCAAGCCCAATCCTCTGAAAGGAGGGAAAAATGATAACAAGAGCAATTTGAAGTGTGATCACTGTGGGCGTACGCGCCACACTACAGAAACATGCAGGAATCTACACGGGCACCCTACTCCAGCTCATGCTCATGCAAATGTTAGGCCAAGGCCTGTTCTATTTAAGGGGTTATCTATGGCTCTACTGGTCATGACTCCTCAGGGCCACTGAGTTCTTTGTCCGGGGCTGAACTTCATGCTCTCTGACATCTACTAGCCCAAAATGCCTCCATTTCCACCTCTAACTTCACTCAGACAGGCACCTCTCATTCGGCACATCAGGTTTCCACATTATCTGGTGTGCCACCCTGGATCATTGATTCAGGAGCCACTAATCATATGACTAGTATGGCATCTGATTTTTCTTCGTACAGTATATGTTCTGGTAGGGATAAGGTAAGAGTGGTTGATGGCACCTTCACATCCATTGCGGGGAAGGGCACTGTTTCTGCCACTCCTAATCTTACCTTATCCTCTGTTCTTTATGTCCCAAAGTTTACCAATAACCTCATTTCTGTCAGTCACATTACAAACTCACTGTGTGTTTCAGGACTTGGACACGGGGAAAACGATTGGAAGTGGACTTTAGGACAATGACTTGTATTTGCTGAACGCGAGGCCAACTTCTTATTATGTTGCAAATCAATCTAGTGTGAGGAATAGTAATGTCAATAAAGATTTGTTAATGCGATGGCATAATAGACTAGGTCGATCATTTACCTCTTCCTGTTTCGAAGCATGTGCTTCCTCAGTTTGCTTCTGTTGAATCTTTTGAGTTAAATTGTGAAACATGCGTTTTTGCCAAACAATGTCGTGTTTCTTATCCTACTAGTATTAATAAAAGTACAGCTCATTTGCAGCTTGTTCATTCTGATGTGTGGGGTCCTGAATCTATTATTTCGTTACTTGGTTTTCGTTACTTTGTTGTGTTTGTTGATGACTTTAGTCGATATACTTGGCTTTCTCTTATGAAAACCAAAGATAACGTTCATTCCATTTTTAAAACCTTTCATAGGATGGTATGTACTCAGTTTGGTTGTCCCCTCAAAATCCTTCGATCTAATAATGGAGGAGAGTTTATGTATGGTGGTCTTACCTCCTTTTTTGCTGATAATGGGATTGTCCATCAAACCTCTTGTGTCGATACACCACAACAGAACGGTGTAGCTGAAAAAAAAACACCATCATTTTATGGAGGTGACCCGTTCTCTTCTAATTAGGATGGGAGTGCCTAAAAGTTATTGGGCTGTTGCAACCTTAACAGCTACATACCTTATCAATTGCATGCCTTCTAAGGTTCTTGGCTATCAATCCCCCTTCCCTGTCTTACACCATGACACAGCCTTGTTTACTGTCCCCTCCGGGAGTGTTTAGTTGTGTTCGTTATGTTCACATTCATCATCGCAAGGACAAAATGGACCCTAAGGCAATCCGATGTGTCTTTCTTGGATACTCCGCCATCAGAAAGGGTATCGGTGTTATAACCCTACCACTCATTGTCGCTTTGTCTCAATAGATGTTACATTCTTTGAGTCTGTTTGAATCCATTGTCCATTCAGAGGGAATGCCCCTTTCCTTTGCTTGTTCCCATTCAGGAGGAGGTTCCCATTCAAGGGGAGCTTCTTACTAAGGTGCCTATGTCCGCCTAACACTAATGATTTGTAGTAGGGAAAGCAGCCAATTGTCTACACTAGGAGGGCAAAACAAGTTATTGACTCACCCTGGGACCAAGAAGTCTCCCTCGATCCAGGTAATTCCTTAGTTGACATGGATACTCCTGATTCTTTTCCCAATAGCATTCGTGTTGATCTTGATGTCCCTATTGCCTATCGTAAGGGTGTTCGTAGTTGTACAAAACATCCCATATCTCAATTTATATCCTATGGTGCCTTATCTCCAACCTATCGTGCTTTCACTTCGTGTATATCCTCTGTATCTGTTCCTTCTAGTGCTTCAGATGCTCTTAGTCAAACTCCATGGAAGAAAGCTATGCTTGAAGAAATGAAGGACCTTGAGAAGATTGGTACTTGGGATATTGTTCCATTACCTAGGGGTAAGAAACCAGTAGGCTACAAATGGGTCTACACAATAAAGTATCATGCAGATGGAACAATTGAGAGATATAAAGCTCAATTAGTTGCAAAGGGCTTCACTCAAACCTATGGAATTGATTATCTGGAAACATTTGCTCCAGTTGCCAAGATGAACTGTATAAGCATTCTTTCTTTGGCAACTAATTTGAATTGGCCCTTGCATTTGCTAGATGTAAAGAATGCTTTCCTTCATGGTGAATTGGAGGAAGGGGTGTATATGACTATGCCAGCAAGGTTTAAGCTTGCTAATGGTCAGAATTTAGTGTGCAAGCTAAATAAAGGCTAGTATGGGTTAAAGCAGTAGCCACATGCTTGGTTTTAAAGGTTCAGCACTGCTGTGAAAAGAGTAGGGTACACAGAGTCAAGCAGATCATACTCTCTTCATCAAATAGCATCAGGGCTGCACCATTGCCCTTATTATGTTGATGATATTGTTATCACTGGAAATAATCTAGAAGAGATTTGTTGAATGAAGTCATTCGTGGGGACAAAGTTTGAGGTTAAAGACCTCGGATCATTGAGATACTTTCTTGGCATCGAGGTGTGAAGATCGAAGAAAGGGGTGTTCATTTCTCAACGGAAGTATGTGTTAGATTTGTTAGCTGAAACAGGCTAGCTTGGAGCTAGACCTATTGATATTCCCATTGAGCATAACCATAGGCTTAATGATGTAGATGGAAACCCATTAGATGATGTGGGAAGATATCAGCAATTGGTTGGGAGACTGATTTACTCATCTCTCACGCACCCAAATATTGCCTACGGTGTTAGTGTGATTAATCAGTTTACGTAGGCTCCACGTACACCTCACCTTGAGTCAACTCATCATGTTCTTCGCTACCTCAAGGGTTCACCTGGTAAGGGGATATTGTTTGGCAATCATGGCCACTTGCGTGTTGAAGCCAATACTGATGTTGATTGGACAGGGTCTGTGACTGTACAGATCGACGATCTACTTCAGGATATTGCACATTTGTTGGAGGTAATCTTGTTTCATGGCAAAGCAAGAAACAGTCTGTAGTAGCTAGATCTAGTGCAAAGGTTGAGTACAGATTGATGGCACATGGAGTTTGTGAGTTGTTATGGCTACGTACGATGTTGGGTGAGTTGGGTTATCCTGTTCACGAGTCAATGAAGTTGTATTGTGACAACAAGGCTACTATTAGCATTGCCCACAATCCAGTTCAACATAACAGGACAAAGCACATTACAGTCGATCGACACTTTATGAAGGAAAAGCTTCGTCTTGGGCTGATTTGTACTCCATACGTCAACACACATGATCAGGTTGCTGATGTTTTGACTAAGGGTGTGAGCAAAACCTGCTTACAAAATATGTTAGTCAAGCTGGGTATGATAGATATCTCTGCACCAGATTGGAGGGGAGCGTTGTCAGGGGCTTATTTGGTATTACTTATATAATGCTGGGGCTTATGTGTAATTTCTTAAACTTGTTATTACAAATCGAATGTGGTGGATGGATGAAAGTATTCTTTCATTCTTTCTCTCTTTCCCATCTCTCTTTCTTTTTCTCTCATCCGCTTTCTTCTATTTTTCTTCCTCTTCTTTATCACTTGCTCTTGATTTGATTATATCTTAAAGTCAACATCTAGCACATCAGGTACTTTCTACGTTTAGATGTATGAGAAAATATTTGAACATCGACATCATGGGGAAGAAATGAAAAGCAAAAGTTCCTCTCAATTGATTTTTTATGTGCAGGGAGTGTGGATGAAACAATGAAGCATTTGGAGATACATTGCAAAGTGGCTCAGGAGAGCGGCCCCTTCTCCCTCATTGATACTTTGGAACTTATTGTTTCATGCCTTGCTTGACAACAGAGAAATTGCGGCATTGGCAAGGCTGTAGAGTGAAGAAAAAGGTTACAGATATTTTGGCAGGTTCAGCGATTATGCTAATTATAGTGTTTATAGAAAAAAGTGTAAAAAACAGCTATGGAAGGATGGAAATTCCCATCTTCAGACTCCAACTTAAAGCATTTTATGAATAGTTCCCTTAGTTTTTGGCTTTCTTGGAAGATCAGTTCTAATAGATTCTTTTGCTCTTTTACCATAGTTGTTAAAGGCTCAGGGCGCAATTCACAAAAGGCCTTCTATTGCCTAAGCGCAAGGTGCAGTATAAGGCGCATCGCGAGCCTAATCGAAGTAAGTCGTGTGTATAGAATAATAATGCACATTTAAACATATATTATTATATATATTCATAATCAAGCAGTAATTGCAGTTAATGGAAGCATTGAACCATAAATTTATCAATTTTGTCAAATATTTCATAAAGTTAAACAATACGATATGTGATATAGAACCTTTTAATTTAGTAGTCATCAAGTAAAAAAGAAAATGATATGAATAAATGATTAAAAAATACAACCTTTTTTAATCCTGGAGCCTCCTAAAAAGCGTGAGCCAAGGACTTCGTGTGAGCCTGATTGAAGGGGCCTGGCCTGTAGTAGGTCGAGGCGCACTAGCTGAGCCTTGACGAGGCTGGGGCTTTTTTGGTGCCTAAGCGTGCCTTTAACAACTATGCCTTTTACTGAGTGATATGGGTTTTTAGTTTCACTGTTTTATAAGTACAATGTGTATACTTAGCTGATACATGGGTTGTGTGGTTGCGCTCCCTTGGCACTCATTAGAGAATTACTTTTATTTTCAATTTCTAATTTTTGTTGCCACTCCAATTCACAGAAAGTAGATCTTAGGTATAGTTATTGTTCAAGTGATTTGCAATCAAAAAGCAATGTTCTACCAGTACTCGTATTAAAGCATCGGTTTAGATGTCGAAAAGAAATAAGGGTAGTTTAGTCAATATAGAAAATAAGGATGCTATACCATTTTACAAACTACTGGGGAATCTCTGGTCATTGGATCACATAAAACTCTAACAAGAGCCTTGTAATAGACTGACTTCTTTAACAGCTACTCCTTTTTCTCTCCTTGTACCATCTGTTTTAAATGATGAAACTTGGAATTCAACCTACTGACTTTAAGAGGAGTAGATCTTATCACATGAGAGATGGGTTTCAACACCCTCAATGTGTTCCAAGGGAAGCAGGTAAAATTCCTACCAGTTCCAGCTGCTTTCTTTGCACTTTAAATCACACAATTGTCACATTTTCACCTATTTCTCATCCAGAAAAAGAAAAAGGAAAAGTTTAAAATTTCCACCTAAGGATTTGTTTAACTACTTATTTAAAGTAAATTGACAGATCTAATAACCCTCAATCAATAAACATAGGATACTAAATAATAGTATTTTTTAATATTACCCACAAAACCCTCACTAAAGTAAAATGGCATTTTTTTTAGTAAACACAGGAGAAACATCTTTTACAAACACATGCCAAATTTTTTTTTTTTCCTGAATAACACATGCCAATCAGGAACTCAAAAAAAAATGACAAAAATCTGAAAGATTTCTAGTATTTAGTTATATCAACATAATTTGAAGACAATCATCTAAATTTTCATTGACAATATTATCTAGTGCAAGGCTTAAAATGAAGATAAAAATAAAATAGTGAACTGAATTCCATGGTTACTGAGGCAACAATCTATGTACAAAAAGAGAAATGCAGAACTACATTTTTCCCCGTGTGAAACGAGTCCTATAATTAAGATCACCTGACTAACAACTTTACGAAAACAGAACCACATTAACTACCAAAAACAGAAAATCGTGCTCATCAACTTTACCTAGTTAGATATCTTGGATCAAACATCCCATAGACAACATCATAATGGCCATTTAAGGAATCAAGTAACTCCAAGTCACCTGTCAATGTATCCCACCTGCAAAGATACTTACTAGATTGAGTTAAGTAGAATAAAAATGTACCAAGAACACAATCTTAGCAGCTTACTCATATCTCTGATGTCGATCAAGGTTCAGAACCACCTCAAAAACAGTATCTGCACTTGCACCAACAACAGCAACAGCCTTCACAAGTACACCTTTACCATTCTACAAGAAGTAAAGTACTTTTAAAGAATTAATTATTTATATATCAAGCACACTTAATTTCACAAATAAAAGAAGAAGAGGATAGCTATAAGACAGGAATATGCAGAATTTTTAATTTAGGCTTAACTAAAACAAGTCATGGTATACTTGCTGGAATGTTTGAACTGTAGTTGGGTCACAAGAAACTGCAGAAATAGATATATTAGGTGTTTTGGTTTAACTATCATAACGGTGGTAGCTATGGTGGAGTGGGGGAGCGAAGTGGGAGTCGCCAAGAGAGAAGGGTTGCAATAATCTTACATATGTAGCAAATGAATGGGAAACACTAGAGAGGAGGGATGTAGAGATGGATAGGGTAATGTTGTATGAATTGTTTCTTTTTATAGGTATGGATAGGGCAATGTTGTCAATGATTAATGTCATTATTTCAAGTACTTTGGAAGTATATCCATCAAACATCTTTCCTATTTCAAATTCCTTTCAAAGAATTTACTTCTGTAGAAGATTCCTGTTGAATGACTTTTAGGTGTTAGAAGCTCCTCCAACCACTACCTAGGGAATAGTGACGAGCAAAATTACATAGATGACTTCCTCTGTGGGTGCTTCATTCTTTTAGGTTCAAAAATCGGAGAATAAAGAAGATCATATTTTCAAGGGAGACAAAGATCCTCCTTTTAAAGGAGAATACAAACCCCTCCTTGAGTTTCTTTTCACGTGTATTTTCAGAGAAGTATGTAGTAGTATTCTTCGTTATTGTTATGGATAAATATCAATCTTGAATTTAGGCAAAAGAAGTTTTTGTCTCCAATTGGTTTATCATACAAAAATAAAACAAAGATATAAGAAACTATGATGAAACCAATACATGTCAAAATTTAATAATTAGCAGGTACCTTAGAGTTGACCACATCCTCGAGGATTCTAACACCTGAAAAGAAACCAAAAAATTAAATAAAAAATTATGGACAAGGGAATATCGTGATTTCCAAATAAGACCATTTTTTTATAATTTGCCATATACATATATACAACTTGAAGGAAAAACTCTCTTCAACCAGACTACAAAGCAAGCTAACCACTGTGAAGCAAAATTTTCACTTATTTATGTTTCTAGTAAAATTACTGATCTCACTCTATACATAGTCACAAAGACTTCGTGATATCAGTTAACAGTTCAATCCAATGATGAGAGTAGCTGGGATCACTCAAGTTCTGATTTAAAAAGACTCGTGTCCTTGTTCTGAAATAACTAATGAATGTCTATGTACTTAAAAGGACAGGGACGTTAAATTATGAATGACACTTGGGACAAAACAACAGAGGTATTCTGAATTTGATGCCCCAAAAAAGGGAAGTGTAATTTTTCCAATTTTTCCTTTATATATAACAAACCATTAGTCACAAGCAAGTAATGTGAAATCAAGAATTTTGTTGCTCAAAGAATAACTTCATCACTTTGTTTTATAAATTGAACAGTCACCATTTCATACTAAATAAAGAGGTTCAAAGAACAAGAATTTGTATATCAAAAACTCATCAAGAAGAGTAAACCCACCACAACACTTGGTCACTTGCAAGATTGACTGCAATCCCTATATTCTCTTTTAGATCACAGGTTAAAAAAAAAAAAGTATGATTCACATCCACCTCATGGTTTGGCCTCATCTGTACAGAAATTATCTCTCAGTTCAACTAAAAACTGATCAGTACAAAATAAATTATTGCATGTGGGTTCCTGTTGAGTATAATGCTTACTTGCACCCAAAATTCATGCTTCTAAACAGTACACTTGCACCAATGTGTACTTTTCTCCCATTCCCATATGCAGCATAATTTCGGTTGATCGCCAAAAGGATATGTCAGTAGATGCCTAAAAAATGTTTGGTTTTCAATTTTCTAAATAAATCCAGTAAAATTGAAAGAGAAACCTCAAGGCTTTAGATCAATATTTGATAACATAGGGCAAAACCTCCACAGAGCACCGAAAGGAGGCACAGCCCATATACAATCATTTTTTAGGAACAAAAGCTATGCAACCCTTAAATAACACCGGACAAAATTTTTTCTTCAACCTATGAATCAACAAATTCTTGGGAAGGACGCTTTTCCCCTCTCTCCAAGCACACCTCATAAATAAAAAGGTGCATAATTACATGTCTTCTATTTTTCCCAGTTAATTCTTCCTCCTCCAACTATTAAGCAAGTCAACTTCTGATCTAGGTAATGGAAACACCCAACAACCCAAGCAAATACAGCAATATTTGACCAAACACCCCACCACTCTACATTAAAACGAATGATCCACTGCCACCGCAGCCTCTTTACTCATATAACAGCAATTAGGAAGAACTTATTCTCCTTTTCACTAAATTACAAATCATAAAAAACTCACCATGTACAGCCAATCACAGAAAATGCCACCTTGGAAGGTGCTTTAGTGCCCTGTACACTATTCCAATGAACAAATCCTCGTATTGCCAGTAAACACTGTGTAATACAATTTGATTTCGAAGTTTAAACCTCACATTCTCTTAACCATCTCTCAAACAATCAACATTTTACAATGTGTTTCACAATTCCACCACTAACTCAAATCTCCTAGTTAAAGACCAACCTCCAAAACCTGATGTCCCATGTCACTTCACTTCTAGAATATGTGAGATAATCTGCTGCCACCCATTCGAAAGGCCTCCCAGAAGCATCAAATGGATATGATATAATCCATGCATCATCGTCATCATCATATAAGCTAAGCAAAAGGAGGGAAGAATAATCCCACCCAACATTTAAGAAGTAGTGCCCTCAACATCCTGCCCTTCATGGGCACAGTCATGACTGTATAATACCGGCCAACCTCAAAAATCAAAGCCAACTGCTGACAAAAGAAGAAGGTCAATCTCTGACAGCAAAGCTCACCATGACCAAAAAAGTTGGCTGATAGGATCATTGACTTTTTCTTATCTAGGGTTTCCACAATCTCTACATGTAAGTAGAGGTTGATTTCTACTTATTTTGCTCAAGATCAGTCTCAGGCATTCAGCACAACACCTTTCGTTAATTGACAAATTAGTCAATGCATATACATGTACAAGGTAACTGCTTTTTAATTATTTCTATAAGATTAAAACATTCACAAAAATTTTGAGATGGTTTTGTACATTGTTAATTGTTATAATTTAAATATATATATATATATATATATATATATATATATATATATATATATATATGTCAATAAGCTTAAGAATATGCAAAGAAACCAAAACATATCATATGCATAAAGTTCGCGGAATTTAAAGTTTTATGCATAGACCTTTTTTTTTTTTGATAAGTAAGATTTGATTAAAAACGCTCAAAAGGGGAGCGAAGCCCAAAGAAACAAAGGAAACAAAAGGGCCAAAGGGCGCCTTAGACCTTCAGAGAGGCCAAGAAAACAATAATTTCCTCCATAGATCTATAATCTCTCCCTGAAACCCAACAAAAAAGAGTAGAAATAACAGAGAACTTAAGCATAGAAACAGGCTTCTTTTTTCCGTCAAAATATCTCCTATTTCTCTCAAGCCAAATACACCACCAGCTACAAAGCAGCGTAGCCCTCCAAGCGTCCTTAATGCCAACCCCAACAGAGATGCCTCTCCAAGCCTCAATCAACCCTCTAAAGGAATAAGGCATGGCCCAATGGACCCCAAATAAACGAAGCATCAAATTCCAACAATCTCTGGCCATGCTGCAATGTAAAAGGAGGTGATCAACAGACTCCTCATTACACAAACACATGTAACAGTGATTGACCACCACCTGATTCCTCCTCCTCAGATTATCCTGGGTTAAAATCTTACCCAGGACAGAGGTCCAAGCAAAAAAGGCGACCTTGCAAAAAGGCATCTGAAAAAGGACCTAACCTCAAAACGGCCATACGAGTTAGGAATCCAGAACCACCAATCCGATTCCCCAAAAGAAATCACTATTAACCTTTTTCTTTTTATTGATGATTGAAAATCTGCAGCCTCACTTAAGTCCTGCCTCAAACACAAGACGAGGACAACACATCGCCCTCAAAGTGATTCCCTATCCATCCAGACATATCTTATCATATCTTTTTCCTATATCCATCTCTCCAAATACGAGCTAAAAGCACATTTGCAATCATAGAAACCTCCCACACGGAATATCCCCTAAAAGCACATACCTTGTCAATTCTTTTTCATATGAGATACCACACCCCCCCCCCCCCCCCCCAAAACAACAAAAAAAAAAAAAAAAAAAACACCCACACAGACACAATTGAACATGAACCAAAAATAAATAAGAAAGATAAGTGAGAACTCGGGGGAAAAGAGAGAGAGAGAAAGGAAAGTGAGAACTCAAGAAAATAAATCAGTGCATTCACAGCAAAAGTAAAACCAATACAAGATCATCTAGAGATTGTTGGCAATGAAAAAGTGAATGGCTGAAACATTACCATTTATTGTACAGACACATTTCCATTCATGTGCATCAATTACATCTTCAGAATCTCCTTCAAAGTATCCATCAGTTCTAACATTAGCACTCAAGCCTGAGGATTGGCGTATAAGAGTCTCCGGACCTATGTATGATATAACAAAAAGAATATCAATAAAATTGATGTGTTTTTGATACCATATCAACATTGGTAGCATATTAAACTGAGGGCATACCCTTAGAGAAAATCAAAGGAAATGAAATTAACCATTTGCAATACAAAGAAAACAAAAACAAGTGAACGATTAAAGAAAAAAAAAAAAAAAAAATGGCCTTTGAACTCCAGCAGAATAAGAAAATGAATGATAAATCTTGCACTCTCAGAGCCAGAGCACTAAGAAACTCCCAAATAAATCTTGCAAATCCTGCAGATGCTTATGTTTCACCATGCTATACTCATCTATATGGTTTCTGGAGACAAGAGCAAGGAAGTTAAGTGCTGTTGTTGCTTTAATTTTCAAAGAAGTGCTTCTTCTTGTAGTGTTGGAACAATATCTAGGCTATGTTTGGCAGGCATGGAATTGGAATTTGTGAAATTGGAGAAAGGCAACTCAGAAAACTGAACTAAAAATTCCACCAATTCCAATTCCAAGGCTACAATTCCATGCCGTCAAACACAGCCCTAAAGCATTTCTCATATGTGAAGGGCTTTTCTATTTGTTTACAAACAATATTTGTCAAAACGTTTTTAACACTAACTCTACAAGAGTACCCCTCTTAAAGTGCTTTTATGCCTTCGCAATCAATGAACATACTTCTCCAACAAGTCTTACCTTTATGCGCAAACACAATCAACGAAGGACCAAATTTGAGCTTAGGCCAAAAGTGTTATGTGGCCAAAATCTCAATAACAAAAAATAATAAAAATAATTTAATTTGGGGCAACAAAACACTGCATGTAAGAAATTTCCAAATTGAAAAAAATTCAGGACTGCAGATCTGAAACCCTTAACAGAGACTGAAAATTACCATAGAAACATGGACATGGTGCAGAAACAAAAGAAATGTAACAAAAAACAAGAAGTTTGCGTAACAAGAATATATATAAAACATATAGGATACTAATTTTGTAGTTTGGATCAGTAATGCGGAAAGATGCCCTACGTGCAAAAATTACATACAATGTTAGTATTTCATAACATATTTGAGCTATTCATTCGAAATGATCAACAAAGAAAGAACCATATGGATTTGCATCATTAAAGTATATATTCTTTTGCTTACTTTGCACTCTATAGTGCACCCTATGCATATGATACATACTTCATTGTATTCTTTCTATGCATTTGATTATTTCTGCTCAGTTATCTTTATCCATTAAAAATTTCTTAATATTTCCAAGTGGCATCATATATATTTATATATATACAGACGTACCAAGTGAGACCAAAACCAGTCATCCCAAAATATATTACAAATTTAGAATACTTGCAAGGTGCAGTATTCTGTCCTAAGAACATCTACAACAATAGGAGGAAGAAGAGACTGTCCAACTCTTTAGGATCCAAATTATTTAACTGCTAAGATTATATATAAATGGCAATATGTGTTAGTGATTTCAACCAAACTAAATTAATGTCCAACTCTTTCGGATTCCAATTAATGTCAACTCTTATCCGGCTTGAAAATAATGGACGCCAATCAAGGTTGCAAAAGTTTCTTATCCGGCTTGATTTTAAGAAGCTTCTATTTATTGGTTGGCATACCAATAAATTTGCACAGAAGTTTCCTGGCATTTAGAAAACTGCACCCTATTTGATTACCATTTATTATTAAGTTAATCAAAATTTCTTGCCTAGGAATCTTCATGATGTATACAAATAGGGTCTCCTGCAATATTCTTCCTCTGATCTTCTTTTCCGATTGCCACCCAAAGTTCTGCTAATATATCTTCTTGAAGAACAGCAACATATAGCCACCAAACCCCATCCATTGTAACCCACCTAAAACTACAAACCATTCTGCGTCCATTCTATCTTCACAAACCGTCCATAAGAAATTCTATAACTTGGTCTGGTAACTGTAAGTAGTGAGTTTAGACAAAATTACTCCAAGTTCTTAGTGATTTTAATTGATTAAAAGGTTGTGTATTCAAGCTAGCTTTACTATTTATAGAACAAATTTAGTAATATTCATGATTCCACAACACTTCAAGATAGAACTGTGAACTTCATTGACATGACATTAAGTGACAATTCAACCATAGTACACACACCATCCAAAAAAATTAAAATTTTATACTATTAGCAAACCATAATACCTTGCCCGATTCTTATTAACTTCTTTAAACCACGTGCATACCGCCTTACCCTAGGTCGATGCCCTTCAAGGTTGATCCTTCCACAAAGAAAAAATAAGAAAAGATTAGATAATAGTTGACCAGAAAGGCAACAAACTTGAAAAAGTGCAGGAAAATTAATCATCTAGATAAATGGCAACTAATGAACCTACTAGGATCTAATAACTGACAACACACACTTATAGGCAGCATAAATGGTTAAGGTGAAGGTGTGAAACAGCAAACAAAATTACACAAAGAAAACCCGATATCAGGTATCAAACATAAAAATATTCATGACAAACCACTCCAGACCCTAGCCATTGACTCAAGGGTGGTCTTTTCTCTCCCTCTCTCTATTCTTTTTTTCATTCACTAGGCGGGAGGTGAGGGTGTAATCTGTTTAATGGTCTAGTCCCCTCGATCCTTACGAAACCACCATTTACTAAACAAGACCACAGAATGTGTCAGAATATGACAACTGATACAAGCATTTCTCAGATCCAGAGAGAGCATACTCATCCTCCATGTTCAGTTTGTTTCTTGTGCTACCACCTCTTGAAAGCTCATATTCAGCCTGTTGAACATAATGTGGCGTTAAAATATATAAAAGTAAAATAAAACATAAAAAGTACTATAGAAGTAGGTAAATCCCTAGTTCCAATAGAATATGATAACCAGGCAAATTACAAAATAAAATCACATTATTGCATCACCAAGGACCACAAAAATGTTATGATTTAATCTGATGAAACAAAATTTACAAGAAAAACAAAGAGAGTGATTTAACAAGAATAGAATGTAATAATCATACAAGTTACATAAGAACACATTGATCATGACAACCACAGTAGCTGGATTCTGCAGAAATCTTCACTATATTAGTCATAATACATTGCCGACTTTTTTTATACCTGTTGTTTGGCATGATCAAATGCTTCCATCCATTTACGAGCTTCTCCAGCTGAAGCACATGCAATCTTGCAGCAATAGAAAATGAAGTAGATGTGAAAACTTATTATATATGAAAAAGAAAATTCTAAATTTCAACTCGAAGGGAGACAGGGGCGGGGGAAATTCCATTAATGATTTTTTTTTTTTTTTTTGATAAATAAAGATTCCACATTAATGATTAAAACATAAGGTCCGAACAAGAATTCATCTAAAACAGATGATGGTCTAAAAAGCAAACGAGCTAATTCATATGTTCTACAAAAATTTCAAAACAGCGATAATCGTAAGACATCAAAATTCAACAGAATATCAAAGGAATTAAATGCAATTCTGCACTTCCTCTTATGAAATTGTTTAATCCAATTCTACAGAACACAATAGGAATAAACGGTTAAGATCAAATTCTAGCAAATTTTACAAGAAAAAAAAAAAAAAAACAAATAAATAAAAAATTACCACTTACTTCTCCCTTCTTTGTCTCGTCCAACCGATTGTAAAACCGTATAACATAGACATCCTAGGAAAGATTTGAGGATAAAAGTTAATTTTAGTAATCCTCTGCAATTGAGTAAAATGCTAAAGATACTCTTTTTTTTTTTTTTGATAAGTAAAAATATATTAACAAAAACGCTCAGAGGGGAGCAAACCCTTAACAAAGCAAACAAAATACGCAAAAGGCGTCATTACAACGTTAAGTTGTCAACAAAATCCAAAAAACTATCTACAGATCGGTAAAATGCTAAAGATACTAGAAACAAATGACGCTATTCACTAGAAAGTGGGATCAATTTTTAAACAAAACAACACATAAAGGAAGGGATGGAACCAGAAATACTCAGTTTTAGGGGGGGGGGGGGGGGGGGGGGGGGGGGTGGGAGTAGCACGTTATAGTTAACATTATAAAAAAAAATTTTTTTTTTTTTTTGATAAGTCAAATAAAAAAAATTATATTGTGTTGTTTTTTAAGAAATAAAAGAAATGTCTTACTCCCTCTATCCAACAAGAAGTGTCCAACTTTCTATTTTCAATTGTCCCAATTAAAAAGTGAATGTACTATTTTTTGTAACATTACCAATTTAACCTTCTTGCATTGAATTTATAAAAAGTAAACCATCACATCACTATGGACCCATTATGGGTAAATTTGGTAATTCATTCACTACCAATACAATATAAACACACTAAAAGTCATCATCTTAAAAAGTTAGATTCCCAAAAAGGAACACTTATTGTGGGATAGAGGGAGTAATATATATATATATATATATATATACTATTACGAGCATGTCTATCATGAGAAACTTCCATTGGTTGCATCCGTGTAACTATTAAGACTGAGAGACAGAACTTTACAGCTTTGCAGCTCAATGGTTAAAGAGTGCAACCTTAGTGAAAGCACCATCATCATAACTTTTTCCTACTCTTACTATAACCTAAATAATACGGAACTTATAACATAAATAAATTAGGATAAAACAACTTATAAATAAGATGAAGAAACTAGTACGAAAAGGCAAAAAAGAAAAAGAAAGACAGAGATAGAGATAGAGAGAGAAAGAGAACGGAACATGCTGCCAGCCGATAAACGAAGCTGTCAAGCGCTGAAAATCCTTTTTCAGTTTTCTCCCTTTAATTCATATAGATAATAGGTATCATATGTACAAATATTTAAATGTAGAACTGACATGTTGCAGTAAGGATTACCACTATAATGAAATTACTTTTTCCCTCAGTGTATTTGGATTTTCTAAAGTAAGAAAAGAAAGGTGTTAATGAAGTTTGAAGGGGATCAAATGTAAGTTTTTTAAACTCAACACTAGTAATTATCAAGAGACCTATATACAACGGACCTGTTTGGCTCCTTTTTTGAGAACAGTGTTCTGTTTACAGAGATCAGAAAATATTAAAATTGTACAATAATCTATTTAATTAACAATTTTTGAAAACTCATTTAAAAAATAAAAAATAAAAAATAAATAAAACTATTTTCAGAAATCTACCTTTTATAGTTCTCTCGAAATAGTTTTTTGTTCTCGAAGTTCTTGAAAAAAAAATTAGCAAACTAAACCAAACAACAACATTTAAATATATATATATATATATATATATGTGTGTGTGTGTGGGGAGGCCAATGTAAGTATTTTTTTTTTTTTTTAATCCTTTCAAATCCACCACTAATAATTACTAAAAGGGACCTAAAAACAAGATTTTTCGAAAAAAAATTTGGGGGCCATTGCTCCACCCAATATATCTGACAATTCTAATATTAGGCAAAATATTGATAGAAACAAAAGGGGAAAAAGTAGCCTTCTAAATTAATGTGATTGTAGATAAAAACTAAAAGAAAATCAAGAGCCTTACACCATGATTGACCTTTCTGCGTCCTAACTCTTCCACCATCAGTGTATGCCCAACAACGCCCCTCCTAATAGGTTTCTGCATCATGGAATGTTCAGGATAAGCATGAGTTTCGGAAACCATGTCCAAAGACAATTCCAACAACTAAACCATGTTACTTGTATTTTCTTTTTCTTTTTTTACTTGTTTGTGTTTTTATGTTTCAAAAAAAAAAAAATTAGAAACGTATTTACAACAAATGCCAAGTTTTGAGCCCATTATATATTAAAATAAAGAAACAGAACAGAGAAAATAAATATTTAAACATCATATGCTTTGTAGTTTATTGCAATACAACCCTCTAAACAAAACGCGCAAAAACATAAAACCCTAGGGCCTTGGTTCAGTATTCAGAAACAGTTCTCTAAGAGTTTTTGTACAGTTTTTGAAATTTCAGTTCTCTGAAAACAGGAAATTGTTCTCGGAACCAAGCAGGCACCAAAATTCTGAGTTTTTGCTATGCTTTACCAGTGTAGATGATTATGGCACGTCACACTCCATGTGGCACTATTTATTACTGAAAATACACCCGGTCAGTGCTAATTGGACCATGTCAGGACCTGCCTGGCATTTCTCTGAAAAACTGGTAGTATCGAGCTACTAGGTCTGAAATCACGATGCTGAGCTCGCAAGAGGAAGGGGTCGCTACCCTTACCTCTCGTGTGGAGGTACCCCACTCCAGTTGGATGGGTCTCGCCATCTTCTCTGAAGCTTTCCTCCGCAGAGGAAGCTTTAAACTTAACTGTTCATCTCGAGCTCCCCCTGCATAGAAGCTTGAGGCTTAAAGGAAGTGTGGAAGCTCAGGACCAAAGAAGGTGAGTCCCAAGCAATTCCCCTATCTCCTCCTACTTCGCGGGAATCTGAGTATCAGTGGTTAGGTGGTTGAGTTCCAAGGATTCGTCTCACCTCGAGGTCTACACAAGGGAGAGAGAATGCTTAATACTCAATAGCTGAGCTTGAGTGGTAGAGACCGCATAATACATTAAATACATATCTCACAAAATGACCATTGGATAAAGAATGAGCTACCCTCGTTACCAAGTGTCCTTACCTAGGTAAAGCGACCATTAGATAAAGGAGGAGTTGGCTCTTATGACCAAGGGTCCTTACCCAAATGAAAGTAGTATAAATAGGACTAAACTCTCATCATTTAGAAAGGTTGGAATACATATACATCACCACAACCTTAATTATAAAGAATGGTCCTCTAGGACTCGAACTACCATAGGGTGTTAAACAAATTTGCATTCTCTCTCTCAATCTCCTCTACTGAGAATCCCTTGTGCTAGCTTGGAGCTCCACTCAGCCTCTGATCTTAGCATTCCCGACAGACATGGAACGGTCTCCTCACATCATCACGAACTATCATCAACATTTTGGCAACTTCAATGGGGAGGAGCATTTCATTGATGTCGAGCTTGCAAGAGATTAGCCCTACTTTCCACTAACAGAGTAGTAGATCTGAAGTTGGAAGTGGCATGTGGTGTGCCTCTAAAGTTTGAAGTTTATTGCTTCATTACGGCGATTTTGTTCTAAACTTACCTCTTGTTATTTGTTTGCAGCTCTTTTGTTTTACTGGCATACTTTTTAACTAAACATGGAATATTTACTTGGTTTTAGTGACACTAGGATCATGATTTTGTTTTTATAACACCGTTTTGTTTTGTATTTTCTTTAGTCCATATGATTCCACTACTACGAGCTCTCTTCCATGAGTTCACCTCAATAAATTTGATATCTAGTGAGTTTCCCTCGAGGAACTCACCTTCACGAAGATTACCCCTTCGGGTGAGTTATTTTTCATAAACTCATCTTTACAAAACCAATCTCTCTAATGAGCTCCCCTCGAGGGCACATCTTCGTAAAATTTATCCTTTCGGTGAGTTATTTTTCTTGAGCTCACCCTTGCAAAATTGATCTTTCTAATGAGGTTACCTCGAGGAGCTTACTTTCACAAAATTTATCTTTTTGGTGAGTTGTTCACGAACTCACCTTTGCAAAATTGATCTTTCTAATGAGTTCCCTTCGAGGGCTCATCTTTACAAAATTTATCCTTTGGGTGAGCTATTTTTCATGAACTCACCTTTGCAGAGTTGTTTTCCTCTGATGAGCTCACATAAGCAAAGTGACACCATTATTTCTTTTGCATATTTTTATATTAATGTACACAGGTATAACACAATTTTGCATTAGCACATGCATGTGGGCTATACGCCAAGGCTTATGTTGTCAAACTCAAAAGGGGCTAGCCTTTTACTTCACTGGCATCTCTTGTAAAACCTATTTTTCAAAACTTCTTCTTTTTGTTTTTTTTGGCGTGTCCTTTCATAACTTAAATTTTATAGTACATTGATTAGACATTCATTGTTACTAGTAAAATATATATATACAAGTAAATATAATGCTAGTTAAAAAAAATAAAAAATGCAAATATAATGATTGACTTGACTATATATTTTGCATATGCAAGTATGTAAAACAACAGTAGTACATGTCAGTCTTTGGAAAAGTTAATCTTGAACCCGTAAAAGGACAATTCTTAATTTTTTCATTTATTTTTGCGTCATTTTCCCATCAAATCCTCTTTCTCTTTACTGTTTTTACAATACCATCAATTTTGTCAGCTATTATTATATTAGTGAGTTGTCACACATCTTTTTCGCTGACATTGTTTAGTCTGAGACTTCATCTTTAAGTCTATACTAAAGTGCGATAATATATATACTATATGGATATATTATCTTATTTAAACAATAAAAATAACTATAGTGCTCGAGCAACTTTTCGGTTCAGCGTCCCTCATAGCTCATAGTAGCAGTTTTACACCATAGCTCGAGCCTGCTTCGGGCCACCACTTTGTCATGGCTTAAACACAGAGTTATTAGTTTCAACAAAAATAGTAATAATGATAGTTAGTTTTGCCAACTTTGTCAATGATTTGAGGACTCTCAAAATTTAATTCCTATTTATTTATTTGTTATCCTTCTCCCGTGCTCGGGTCCCTTTGTGTCACACTCAATTTCTCACTCTAAGTATCCCCTAGCATCTAAGCCTCCCTCGTGCTATAATGATCTCTTTTCTCCCTTGGGTCCAAATGTTTAAGATTTCCAAGTTCTTAGAGGTCCTCCGCAAGCTCAATCCTTCATTGCAAATTTCGAGTCATTGCCACAACTCAAGTCCTCCCTCTAGCTCAAGCTTGTCATCATACTTATTGAAAATTCCCTACAGTACCGAGTGAACTTCCATTCTCTTGGGCAACATCTAGTCTCACACATCTTCTCTTGTATGCTAGAAGTTGTTTGGTCAACACTCCTACAATACAAGGGGCAAAGGACTAAGAGTGTTCACACAAAAAAATTCCTTGAATGCTCAAAATGCTTTGGGTTAGCATTCCTCTGTGGTTTGAGCATTGTTTCGACCTCGCTCCTCTTGCTACTTGAGTTCCTTTTTGAGCCAACGCTCACCCAGCGGATTGAGCACAATGCCAACAACTGTTTGAACAAAAATATAATAGTAATGATGTTTTACAAAAAAAATAACCTGGTCATTGAGTCGAGGACTAGCTCTTTCGGTCTTTCTCACTTTTGCCTTTCTTTTCTGCTGAATTTATAACTTCAGTTTCTTTCCCTCCTGTTTCCTTGCTTGGCTCCATGAAACATGATCACGAAACCCATTTGAACCAACAAAGCAAAAAAAAAAAATTTCTTGCTTGTGTTTACAAATAATAGCGAACCTCGCCTAACTCTGACTGCCACCTCAACCACCCTTCTGAAAGTGAGATCTTGCACCTCACATCCAACTAGACTTGCTGCCAAGAGCACCTCAAGTAAACTTCTCTTTTTTTTTTTGATAAGTAAAATTGTATAAAAGCGCTCAAAAGGGGAGCGGATTCCAAGAAAAATACACAAGGCCACAAAGGACCTCTAAGCTTTTAGAGAGGCCAAAAAATCGACAATCTCCTCTAAAGAACTATAATTTCTCCCTGAAACCCAACAAAAAAGAGTGGAAAGAATAGAGAATTTAAGAATAAAGGTCGACATCTCCTTCCTATCAAAATATCTACTATTTCTCTCAGGCTAAATACACCACCCCACACACAGAGGCATAGCCCTCCAAGCATCCTGAATGTGAGCCCCCACAAAGCAACCCCTCCAAGCCTCAATCAACCCTCTAACGGATCCAGGCATAACCTATGGAAACCCAAACAAGCCAATCATCAAGTAAACTGCCTAGGCCGAAACGAGAAACGTCGTCCAACTCCTTTGAAGCTCAAGTGTAATACCTCTTTGAAACCTCAAAGAACATCGTCTGACCTCCCTCGAACTCGAGCTTGGTATGCTTGTGAACTCTCGAAGAATGTCGTCCAACTGCCTTCGAATCCGAGCCCTGTACCTCTTTGAACCCTCGACCGTCTAACTCCTTTTCAAACTCTAACCTAAAATTTGGCACATCTTTAAGCACTCAACACGCACCGTCAATTCCCTTTGTACCTCTTCGTACCATCAAACATCACCATACATTCAGGCAAAAAAAAAAAAAAAATCGCCACCACCAATATCAACCTTCACCTAATATCTTGAGTAGTAGTCGTTCACTTCCTAACCTTTGAATCTTCAAGCACTCACAACTTGTGGTAATCGTTTTCCAGAGCACTCAATAATTATCCTCTCTATGCATGCATTCCACGTCACGGGAACCGCCATGAAAGAATTGACAGACCCCTCGAGTCTTAAAATGTTGGTCGGTCCTTAATACGAACAAAGTCACTTACCCTTCGATAGAAATCTCTTCAAGCTTTCACCTGTTAACCTCTCCCTTCGACCCATCAATTTCTGGAGACTTCAGCAACCTCCTCGAGGTCACTTGATCTTAAAGGAAAATCTCTTCCTATAAATGCTCAAGCAATGCTTCGGATTAGCATTCTGTCGCAGCTCGATCGTTGTTTCAGGTCAGCTCGTGCTGCTCGAGCACCGCTTCAGCTAGCACTTCCTTGCGGCTTTAACACATCACTAGTAGCTCTTTTAAATAAAATAATAATAATAATTTGTACGTAGTAATATCTTTCTTTTATAAAATAATCTTGGGAGCGTTTACATAAGGACTTTTTCTAAAGTGTATATATATACAACGGCCAACTCATTAAGTCCACTCACTTGTCAAAATTTCTCTTATGCAATCTCACCACAAACAACTTTATTTATTATTATTATTTTTTTTTTATTATTTGTTTTGGGTCACTTGAGATATGGATATTCCCTTTGAAATAGCCGCAGTCCTTTCGCTTCATGATCCTCTCATCGCGTTCGGGATCTCCCCCGCATTCAAGCTCATCCATCCCTTGTACCTAGGATATTTTGTGTGCATAGTTCACTTCACTACGGTTAGAGCATCCATTAAGGACTCGGAGCCTCCTGTGGCTTAAGACTTTCTTACGAGTTCGGGTTTCTTACAGGCATTCAAGTCCTTCCATGAGCACAACCCTCATCATGCATACTAAAAGTTCCCTGTAGTACCAACCAAACCTATACTATTTTCCTTTACTTAAAATGCAAAATCATCTTTTGTCTGCTAGAAGCAGTTGTATCAACACTTCTACCAGACAAGGGGGCAGAGAACCAAGACCAATTGTAAATCGACCCTAGACTTTTTTTTATGGGTTTGTTAAAAAGAAAAAAAGAGTGAGATTATTACTTTATTGACATGAGACCAAATATTTTTCCTTTCGCATGGGGTGTTTGATTACCCTTATTTTCCTTCCTTGCGCTTTTAACTATCTTGACAAAGTTTTGATCCAGACTAGTGTACACCTCGTAAAATAAATCTCTCCCCCGAGCACCCCTTGCAGCTCTAGTAAAACTTCAAATCGGCACCTCCTCGCGCAATGCCTCCGCATCTTAGGACAACATCTCTCACGACTTCCCTGCCTCGAGTCAACGTTGCACGGCACATCTAGTGTGTCCCAATATTTTTTTTGATAAGTATCTAATGCATCCCAATATGTCCGTACTCAATCCCTTTTATTTTATTTATTTCGACTAATTGTTAGCTACATTTACTATTATTACATCATAACGCTTAGGTCCTTGCTAAATCGATCTCTTCATTGTTGAGTTAGAATTAAGATTTGCAATTATCAATTCAGGTTAAATATATATATATAATAAAAAAATCATTCTAATTACCATTGATGTTATAAATAAAAAAATTGCATCTCGCACTATTTCATAACTTTACTAGGTGATGCAAATCGCACAACATAACTTAGAAATCAAGATAAAATTATTTTATTAATTATGTCATCCCATTACAACCTGTTTTGCTAACAATATGATTTTGTTGTGCGAGGAACATCTTAACTTGTGGATAAAATGTACGTAGTATATTGACTCGAGGTGCACCTATAATAAAGGTTGAAGCTCCATGTGATCCCCTACGCCATCTAAATGGAACTTTAAGCACACATATATATAATAATAATAATAATAACTGACAGCTGAGCACGGATAAGTCTCGGTTCTAGCTAAAAGAAAAAAAGAATGAGGAGTTCCTCTCTGCGGATAAACCTCAATAAGTTAATTGAGATCCTCTCTACGAATATTTCCCTTTTACCTATAGTCTTTTGCTCGAGTTCCCTCCTCGCGACCTCGAGCAGGGGGGCTAAATGTAGATGATCATGACACGTCACACTCCATGTGGCACTATTTATTACTGAAAATACATCTGGTCAGTGCTGATTGGACCATGTCAAGACCTGCCTGGCATTTCTCTGAAAAGCCGGTAGTATCGAGCTACTGGGTCTGAAATCGCAATGCTGAACTCGCAAGAGGAAGGGGTCGCTACCGTTACCTCTCCTGTGGAGGTACCCCGCTCCAGTTGGACGTCTCGCCATCTTTTCTAAAGCTTTCCTCCGCAAAGGAAGCTTCAAACTTAACTGTTCATCTCGAGCTCCCCCTTGCATAAGAGCTCGAGGCTTCAAGGAAGTGTGGAAGCTCGGGACCAAAGAAGGCAAGTCCCAAGCAATTCCCCTATCTCCTCCTACTTCGCGAGAATCTAAGTATCACTGGTTAGGTCAGTGGTTAGGTGACTGAGTTCTAAGGACTCGCCTCACCTCAAGGTCTACACAAGGGGGAGAGAAAACTTAATACCCAATAGCTGAGCTCGAGTAGTAGAGACCGCATAATACATTAAATATATATCTCACAGAATGACCATTGGATAAAGAATGAACTACCCTCGTTACCAAAGTCCTTACCTAGGTAAAGCGACCATTGGATAAGGGGGGGGGGTTGGCTCTTATGACCAAGGGTCCTTACCCAAACGAAAGTGGTATAAATAGGACTAAACTCTCATCGTTCAGAGAGGTTGGAATACAATTACATCACCACAACCATAATCATAAAGAATGGTCCTAGGACTCGAGCTACCATAGGGTGTTAAACAAATTTGCCTTCTCTCTCTCAATCTCCACTACGGAGAATCCTTGTGCTAGCTTGGAGCTCCACTCAGCCTCTCATCTCAGCATTCCCATCATCACGATCTATCATCAACAACCAGAAACCAAACCAATCAAAAATAATTACTCCCAATCTCATATTAATCTATTCAAATTTTTAGAATCCTTATCTTCTGGTTCTCACTCAACTCTGCAAGTGATCTACCGTGTGTTTGCATGCGTCTCTGCACACACACGTGGATATCAGGATATGTATACAATTTAGTGCATCTTTTTCAAACATGTATTCAATAATTGTGATTTATTTTCTTCTCTCAGACTTAATTATATAGAATCAATTATATGCATATACACAAAGAGAGATAGAACGCAATTTGCTAAAGTTATTCTTACAATCCCATGGTCTTCGTGAGGATCGCGTTTGTACATCTCGACGAATTTGCCACGAATGAAGAGGAAGCGAAGGTGACAGAACTCGTGACCGATTGAATTGACGCCTAAATGAAAAACCCAGCCGAAGGACTCCTGCACTCCGCTTCTATCGTCCGATCCGCTCTCGGATCCTCCACTCTCCGGCGATCCTCCTCCGCTCTTCATTTTATTCAACACCGACGACAACATATTATTTCTTCTTCTTCTTCTTCTTCTTCTTTAATCTTTATCAGTCACTTTCTCTCTCTAGAAAAGAGGATTGTGCGAGACCGAACAAAATTGGAAAGGTAATGAGCTGTATGGGGACTCCGATTTCTTTTGTTTTGGTTGGTGTTTGTCCAGCGAAGCAGAGTGGGGTTCTCGAGAGTGTGAAGTGGCTGGGCGGATATTGGTTACACGTTGATTGTTGATGTGGTACATTGCAAGTCAAATCAATTAGGACTCTTTTGTTTGCATTATGATGCCAACTTTTTTAGGTTTTGGTTAGGTCGGCTTAGTTGGTTGCTCTATTTCTTATTCACGGACACGAATTCCACACGGGCGGGTTGCGTTTTGGTTTCTCCGTGTCTATGCAATAAAATGAGGAGCGAAAGAAACGAAAAAATATATATTTAGTGCTTTTTCGTTTATTACCATGCAATTGTTTTTAGAAATTAAAAAAAAATTACCATTTTTATTTAACGACGGAAGCCAAATATCTCAATTTATAGAAATTAAAGACTCCTCAAGTCAAAAAAAAAAAATTCGAATTCTTTTTTTTAAAATATTTTTTTCTCAAGTCAAATTAACAAAGAGCTATCTCAACTATTTTGGATACAAATGTCTTAGTGCCTCCAGTGGTAGACTTATAAATGGATCGGATTCTGACCAAATCAGGCCTGATTAGATCCGAATTCGATAAATATTTTAGTCGAACTGATCCAATCCGATAAAAATGTAGTTTTTTTTATAAATAAAATATATATATATATATATATATATATAATGTCAAAAGAAATTTAAAAAAAAAAAAAAAAAACAATGGTTATAAGAAATATATATAAAATAAAAGATAAGTAAAATATGAATGGAAAACAAAAACAAAAATTATTTATTATTTGTTAATGAATAAAGAGTATGATATTATTAGTATGTATATTACGAGATTTATTGGTATGTAGACGAAAACACCACACTATTTTACATATAATATTATGATTTTTTTATTTTTGGTTTTTTTTAGGTTACCTCTAGTACAAATCTGATTGGAGTATTGATATATATATATATATGTGTGTGTGTGTAAAATTATTGATAAATAATTATATATGTAAAATTATAGACATATATAATTTTATTTGGATCATCATAATTCATATCCGATTTGTTAGGTTAACGAATCGATTATCAGATTCGGATTATAATTGAGTTATCGAATTTTTTCTTCAATTTATATCCGACTAATCAGATTCGAATCAGATCGGGATCATGATCATGATCCGCTTCATTGACAGGTCTATCCCGATGGACTTTGGAGTGTCAAATCTCGATTCTTTATATCTACTAATTTAACTTCTAATATTTCTTGCCTTGTGAAAAAAAAAAAAAAAAAAACCTATTTTTGTTGATTTTTTCATTCCCAAACAAGCATATGGGATTATGTATATACATTTCGGATTAAAGGATTTACAAGAATCATATTTTTTAACTACGGACAGGAATTCAACTAAATCACATGTATCATATATTTGTAGATCAATCTACAATATTCTCTTCATGTATGTAGATATCAATTGCATCTATAGGATTGGAATATATACGGTACACAATTTTATTTTTTTAGCACATTGACTTGATCAATCTAAGACTATCGAAAGATAATTCTGATCAGAAATTAATCTCATTTACTTTGTGTTGTTTGCTCAATGAGAGAATATGGGTCAAAATCTATCCGACCAAATCTATAAAAGTTAAGAAATGATTGAAAGAAATAAAATAGAGAGAAAAAAATATAAAATAAATAAATAAAATAAAATAGAAAATTCAAGATTTCAATCTCAAATAATGAGAACTAAGGGGGAATTGATTATACTTTTGTTCTTATTATAATATCGTGAATCATAAACCACCAAGATCATATATTTTATTACTAACTCAATTAAAATTAAAAGTTATATTTCTTTTCACTTCTATTACTTTCAATGTGCAAATAAGTCTTCACTATTAATAAAATTATTAATCAATTAAAATGTTATAACTTAATGGTACAGCCTCACACTTTATTATAAACCAACGTTATTGAGCCTAAAACAACTTGCTCCTAACACCAGCCAAAAACTCGAAACTTTGACACATTTTTCGTCCACTTCGATCACAAATAAGTACTATATATGTCCTTTTCTAAAAGGTAAGTAGTCTATTATTCTTTAAAGCGTCCTCTATCATCGTCAACGTACTCGTCCCTTTCAGAATTCAATAATGACCACGACGACACTGCAATTAAATTATGGAATCTCATCTTTCAATATATATAGTCCGAATAATAGAATTGTCAAATATAATAAAAACAAATTAAAGTAATCCAAAATATGGAATTTAATTTCCGTTCGGATTCCTACAATTTTATTCTTTACTTCTTTCACACGACTCTATAACCAAAATTATTTTCTTCTTTCTTTATTTTTATTTTTAAGAAAGGTAAAGCAAACAACCAAATGAGACATTTTTACCAACTTTTTATACCTTCTGTACTTTTCTCAAACTTTCTTGCCATGCAATAATTATAATAAAGGTAAAGCAATAACTTTTTCTTCTTTCTTTATTTTTATTTTTAAGAAAGGTAAAGCAAACAACCAAATGAGACATTTTTACTAACTTTGTATACCTTCTGTACTTTTCTCAAACTTTCTTGCCATGCAATAATTTTAATATATATAATGAAAATGTGCATACGCACACGTACGTGTGTGTGTTTATATATATATATATATATATATATATATATATATATAGAGAGAGAGAGTAAATAAGAATCTTACAATGCCGGGGTGATCGTGAGGGTCACGTTTGTACATCTCGGCATATTTGCCACGAATGAAGAGGAAGCGAAGGTGACAGTAGTCCTGACCTATAGAATTGATGCCCACGTGATATACCCATCCGAAGTACTCGAATCCACCAGGACTAACACCTCTCTCTTCAGCTCCTCCGGCCTCTGATCCTCCATATTCCGACAATCCTCCTCCGAGGCCGCTGCCCCCTCCTTCGCTCCCATTTTTCTTCGACATCAACTCTGCCGACGAAGACGAAGACGAAGACGAAGACGACATCTTCTTCTTTGATCGATGGATCACTTACTTTCTCTCTCTCTCTAGAAATTAAAAATGGGAGGGGGCCACATCTGAAGGGAAATGGCGAGAGAGATAGGGCAGAGTGGAGGAAGAACTAGGGTTAGGGACGAGTATGGTGCGTGTTTAATTGGCTTGATTTGGGAGGGGAGAGGCTTTTTTTGGTGTCGTAGTAATTTGGAGGTTTTTGGTTAGGGTTGGGCCAACGAAGCACAGATTCTATTTGTAGTAAGGAAGTTAGAGAAAGAGGGTGGGGGTATGTGTTCAATTGACGCGGTTGTTTCAACCTTATTCGCAAACACGCTCCTACACTTCAACACATCCCCATGTGGATTGCTTGCCATGCATCTTCTTCTTCTTTTTTCTTTTTTCTTTTTTTTTTTCTTTTTTTTTTAATAATTTAAAAAATCACATAAACATCACCATTAATTCTATACTATAATTGCTTAATGGAGTTTGAAATTTTGCAATTTCTTCTGTTAAATCTAGATAAATTTATTAAATCAAATTAAATTATTCTTTTATTTTCAAATTTTTAAATTATTAATGTTAATAAATTAGTATTGATTAACAAAATCATGTCTCATAGCCTCATAGGCCAAGGTCAATGTATATTCTTAATATAAGAAGCTCCGTGTAACTATGACAATTCAGACCATCATTGTATTTTACTCTCTTAATTTTTATTATAATATATATATTTACTAATTACTAGTATATTTTACATTATGACAAATTTTTAAAAAATAAAATTCTTAACTCGTTTCATCCTTTCCCTGATAGAAACTTATTGAAATGTTTCTATACCAAGCGAATGAATAGGATATAGACTGAAAGATCATCTTAGATTGAGTTTAGAAACATTTCAAACATTAATCTTCCTTGAAATCGTGGAAAAAAGTTTTACAAATACAATGGATATTAATTTTCGTTTTTTTTCCCCTCCTTATTTATGTTAAGAATTTTATATTAAATTACTACTCTAATTAATTTTTGTTAGGCAATTTCTTGTCCTATAGAATTAGAGCCAAGATGGAGATATTAAGAATTGTGTCTCAAATTTTTATTCTAATTAAAATTTTATTTTAGGAGTTTTATTTTATTAAAAAAAATAAATAAATAGAATGACTTAGCGCTGATTAGGGATGGCAACGGGGCAGGTTTAGAGCGGGTTTCCCTAAATCCCGCCCCGCCCCGCCCCGCCCCGCCCCTTTTAATTTTTGTCAAGTCCATGTCCGCCCCGTGACGGGTTGGATTTTCATGTCCAGCCCTGCTCCGTTGGGAAATACTGTGCCCCTGTGCCCGCCCCGCTAACAAATTTTTTTCTCCCACTTTTTGGAACTTAAGCTCCTACTATTTAAATGTAGAAAGCCTAGGAATGGCACAACATAAATGAAATTATGTATCCCAACAAAAATAAAAATGCACATAACATAATTCAGAGAACATAATAAATAAAAATAAAAGTTTAATACAACCAAATTACAAAACGTTCTAAACTCCAACTTCTACCATAACTAAAACAAAAGCAAATTTAATACCACGTTTACATCCAAATTAGGATTGTAAGAGATGAGTAAATGGGTAAGTCGCTAAAATAAGTTTTATATATATATATATATAGTTATATGCTTAGCGGAGTGGGGCTCCTAGGATATGTATACTGAACCCTTACCCGTCCCGTGACTCTCGACGGGTACAAAATTTGTATCCATGTCCGCCCTAACGGTATAAAAAGTGTTCCCATATCCGTTATTAATGGGGCAGGGCGGTAAAAATTGACATCCCTAGCGCTAATTCAATGTTCCTATGCACGCTCAACAATTTATTGAATGGACCCAAAAAATAAAAAATGTTCAACGTGAATTATTCGATCTATTACTGCTCTCCAAATACTAATTACTGTATGGTGGTCCCAAAGATGTCTCACACTGTTATTTGGAAATCCATTATTGCTTTGAGGGATACTATGCTGCAACACATTCAGTTTAGAGTGGGGTGTGGTTAATCTTTTTCTGTTCTTTAAGTGTAAGGGCCAAACACTTACTCAGAGGTTTGGACATAGAGTAGCAAGGTCTTTAGAAATTTCCAGAGATGCAACTTTGAGCTGTTTGATGCTTAATGGGGGCTGGAACTGGGCTGTGCTACGGGGTTCTGGTTTGGACCAGTTTAAAACCTATCTTCTCTCCGTGCCTATTCATACAAATGCGGATAAGTTGTTTTAGAATGGTGGTGCTTTCTCCTTCAAGTGAGCTTGGAATTCTTGTAGGACTGAATTTGAGGAGGTGGCATGGAGGGGTACAACATGTGTTGGGGTCACTACTGTATTTGTAATGCGAAATGGGATACCTTCCATGGTGAATCTACAAAGGAGAAAGGTTAGTTTGGCTACTCGATGTTCTCTCTGTCTTCGGGATGTTTACTCCACGGTCCATTTGTTTGTTGCTTGCCCGTTTACTCAATCCTTGCGGACATGGTTAGGTGGGGTTCTCAATTGGGATATGCAGCAGTTTGGTGAGACATCTACAGTACTATATAGGATTTGTTTTACTGGTTTAGGGACCTGTATCAGAGTTCAACCTCTTTACAAAACTTTTTTTGCAGCATTGATTTGGGGTATATGGCATGAAAGAAATGCAAGGCTCTATGGATCATCTACGACAAGTGTTGTTTGAAGTGTTGGGTAATCGCTTCAATTTTCAACCAAAAAAAAAGTGTTGGATGTTCATAATGATTCTATGAATGATATTGTGTCCTAATATATTTTTGGCAAAAGTGCAAACAACTATCACAAATCTGCAAATTGACCCCTGAAACTCAATTCTGGCCACTTTCCGGCCCATAAGGTCAGCACGTGACTGTCCTTTTCTTTTAATTCCGAAATTACCTTGGAAAATTACCTTTGTAACCCTTTGCCTGTAAATGAACCCATTTGTTCATTTTTCTTCTTCCATCCGGCCTCTAATCTGCTCCACCTTTGCACCAAACACTAAGACAAATTTGAAGAACAAAGTTTAAAGTAAGATATACATACATATATATATGTGTGTGTGTGTTTCTATATTACACACACACACACACACACGTGTGTACTAGAGAATGAGAGAGGAAGATTTATTTAAGCTTGTAGAGAGAGAGACAACGGCAATTATGGATAATACTCCAAAAATATCAATACCGGAGCATAGTTGACAAAAATCGTGGCCGCAATGTGAATATAATCATATGCAGGGATTGGGTATCTCTTTAGGAGTATATCGTCGGCGATAAAAAGCTCTCTCAGTTACAATCAGAGGGAAATTGCGAGGTTGGGTGTGGCTAAGGACTTTGGAGACATGTTGGGCTGGTAGTTTGTGTTAGGTCTTTCCCTCTATGGGTTGCTATTTTCGTTGGTGCTATGCATAATTTAGTTGGGTATGGTTGCAGATCTGCCATCTTGTCGGTGAGGTTGTGCGTGCGTGAGAGGCATCGCTACGGCAACTATGTAGAAGTAGACGTTAGAGGCACGTGGCAGAACAGGTGGCCACAGTTGAAGGCCATGTTGGAAAGTTGCCTTGATACTGGTGAAGTTAGCGGCGACGGCGACTGGTGGGGGAAGAAGCAAATCGGTGTGGCAGATGTTACCCCTACGCTGGTAGTGATGACGATCTGAAGCGCCATGAGGTGATTTAGGACGTCCGTGGTGACCACTATTACCGTCAAAGGAGTCGTCGATGGCGACAGTGATTGGATTAATGTGTCAGCGTATGAGAGTCTGCCACAGTTACTTGAAAACTGAGTGTATATCACATGAGGGGCATTGAGGGTATTTCATGTTTATTATTTATTTTCGTATTTTTTTTTCTTCTTAATTACGATGGATAGTTTTGTAAATCTACAATGAGGTCGGCCGAAAAGTGGTCGGAATTGCTTTTCAGGGGTTAATTTGCACGATTTGGATAGTTATGGTATTGACTTGTTCATTTTTGTAATACAGAGGGGTAAAATGCTGATTTGTGATAGTCCAGGGGGGTTGTTTGCACTTTTGCCTATATTTTCTTTTGTCATGTCTTTGTATTGGAAATTTGGAAGTGAGTTTTCTCTATTGTTCTCGATTCCCTTCCTTTTCTTCAATTGATTATGAGGGTATGCCCTCTGCACTACTATTTTTTTTTTTCTTTTAATACAACTCCAATTATGAAATATATATATATATATATATATATATATATATATATATATATTCTATAACTGTTGTCGAGAATTGGCTCAAAAACACGAGTGTACCATCTCACAGTTGTTTATTCTAATTCCCCCACAATGTTTAATCCAGCTTTAACCCTTGTTGAATTGCATGCTTATTCCATTCACAGTAAAAAAAGGAATGCATCCTCATTCGTCATTATGAAGCAACACATTTGAATCACTTAAAACATCTATAATAGACTCAGCTAGGCACTCGCCCGTTGGTTAGACTCGATTTTAAAAGAAGTGAAGATTCAACTAGCAAATGAAAATGTGAATGAAAACTAAATGAATGCACATTTTCTTTCTACTTGAACTTTAAACTACAAATTCTCAAATAGTGGCTAAAAACACAAATAAAAAATGACAAAATTTTCCTACTTTTCTTGATACCCTCTCCTCTCTTGTAATTCCTGGGAATCAAAAAAGGAAAAATAATTTCCTTCCGTGTGTCTCTGCCTACACCTTATGAAACAGTGCCTTGAATATATTTCGATTTGTGGTGATATTTTCATCATGACTCCCTTTACCATCATAAAGGTACATTGGCAAGCTTTGAGAAGACATGACATCATGCCATCTGCCAACCAATCGACCTCAAGTCTACTCACAGACGAGTTTTTTAGATATATTTTCCAATTTGTACCAAAATCCCAAATCAACAGTAAATGTATAGTTCAGAAATTGAGTACAATATCGATCCAGTTTGCCATCACCATGTTTCAAAACTTACCTACTAAAAGAACTTGAAAACATCCAATTAATACAAACAGCTCAAAGCCTCAAACAGAAATTTGATTCTGAAAAAGATAAACAGGATGCCAATGTGAACAGACACTTTGCTTTTAGTAACTTATATGATTAGATTTACTAGGTTTTAGTGTCTTCTTTCCTCCCCTCTTGATCCACGTCATATTCTTCGTCGTCGTCGTCCTCGTCCTCATCAATGTCAGAATCATTATAATTGGTTTGGAACTTGCTCAGGTCCCTTCTTTCAGCATCCTCACTAAGAAATTCCAACCCATATCTGACGTTTCGGTGCTTAATCAAAAGCCATCGTAGCAACCGGTCTTCCTTGTTCAGGTAATGCAGCTCATTATTGAGGCTTGGTGGTGCCATCATTGTCATTTGCATCAGTTGGCCCTATATCACAGGGGTTAAAAAAAGTACTCAGGCAACATTGCTGGCCATCACTAGAAAGGCATATAAACCAACAAGCTTCAGAATACTTTGAGAATAGAATTAGCATGAAATCACAAATTTTTAAATGCATTAATTTTTAAATTTTTTTGGGAAGGGGTGAGAATCTGTGGGAACGAGGGAGCTTACTCCAAGGGAGAGGGCCCATTTGAGGTAGTGACTGAATGATCCAACGTACCATTCGAGCTCAGTCATATGAGTAGTAGTAGTCATACGAGTAGTAGTACGTAAGCAGTGTTAAAAGAAGAAGCTTTTTTTATTTTTTATTTTTTATTTTTTTATTTTATTTTATTTTTTTTATGATTCATCATCCTCAGAATTTGGGGACTAGGGGTGAGGGGGAAGGGGTTTACTAAGCCCATGGGCATACACCCGCAAAGGCAAAGGCAAAGTCTAACAACACTGTTATCCCAAAATTTGAAAAAAAAAAAAAAAAAGGAGCACTCTTAACAAACTTCTTGTGGCGAGCTCAAACCTTTGACAAGTTTGAGCTCATATGGGTCTCTAATCTTCTCGGATAAAAGTGCTAGGGATGAATTGTTCCAACTACCACCAACTTTTGAGAGGGATTTCTGCAATTAACATCTCATTTCAAAAGACCTGAACTATAAAACTCGACTGAGAAGGATTCGACAAAAGCCCGAAACAAGTGAATCCTATGGTCATTCTTTACTTAAGTTGCGGGACATCCTTAGGCATATTAACACTCCTTTCTAGACCATCTTACAGTCTCACCCAACCTTTATAGGCTAAAGTAATCACACAATGTATTTTATTTTCCTGAAGGTCCTCTGCACAACTTCTATTTCCAGGGCAACCTCGATGTATTGGAGTTCTTACTCATTCAGGATTCACTTATGTATTTAACTATTTTGTTTCCCTTCCAGTCAAGACCCCAATATTTAGGGCTAATTCTCATTTCCTTACATACCTACATGTTATCATTTTAATGCTCAAACTAAAAAATAACAATTCTTTCCTTTAGAAACTTATTTTATAATCCTATCTTCTTAGAGTATTTGCATGGCCCCAGATCCAAATAGAATCAGGTAATCAACATGTACTGTAAATTGCAAAAAAGAGAGACCAAATTCCTTCCAAAGAATTGGCATTGCGACTTGATTAAAAATAAATAAATAAAAACACCATCACCACCACACAAACATATATCTACCAATATATAGTATATAGACATATAAATATATATAATATAATATAAACACACACACATGGCATTAATAAATAGTGAAAACTTTTTTCTCAGCATGTTACAGCTTGTAGGGGTCTGGTGGGTTAAGGGGCAGTGATTTGGGGTTGTGCAAAGGTAGTTAATATATGGATTTTTTTTTGGAAGAAAATAATGAAAAATTTAAGGATGGCCCTTCGAAGCTTATGATGGTATTTAGAAGATATGCCTCACTATCACCAGACAGTTATTAGAATCATGCTTCCAAATATCAGCATGAGTTAGGAAGCAATATTAGCGACATCACCTTTATAAAGGACATTTTACATCATTCATCCAGTCTAATCCCAAAACCAGTAAATTGCATCAAGGTAACAATAACATGCACCGTAGATCAAATAAGAATTGACAGTCATGGTAGAAGTGATATCCAATCAAATAGTTAATAATCTTTAATTTTCACAAGAAGTGGGTCAAATGATCCTTGTAAGATTGGAGCTTATAGCTTTGGTTGTTCCAATGAAACTTAAATAGGGGAACCTAAGATGAAACTTGTAGGAGACTTGTAACTTGTAAGATGACTAGAATGAAAATGGATTGCGTTTGCAAGGGAACTGGAGCGGGAGATTTTCTAATCCAAAAAGTCCCTTTAGTGTATCATCTCCTGGACTCTAAGATAAAACTCACGAGTACATTTAATAGTTGCTGGGTGTTTCTTCAATTGTAACTTTTATGAGAATTTTATTTGCAAGTCCGCATGGGACAGGTTATTCTTCATTTCACTTTTCTTACTTATCAAAAATAAAAAATAATTCTTCATTCCATTTTTTCTCATTCGATTTATATACCTCTTTCTACATCACATCGTCAATATATTCCTCTCCAAATTCTATAATTTTTTCGTTTCTTAATGGAAAAGAAGTTTGTAGCAGAATTCTAAAAGAGGGTAAAGAACATCTGTTCTCTGCCACTTGAAAATTTCTACAGCAAGTAGTTCAAAATTCACTCTATTTCACTATAATTCAATTTCAGTTGAAACAATTTCACAATATTTTCAACATATTAAAAAGGAGTTCACGAAGCAGATCCTATTAATAAAGCAGATCCTAGAAAATACTGAAAACAATTTAATGCACAAGACCGATGTTAATAGACAAATGCAAACCAAAAAAATTAAGCTAGTAGTGTAAGAAATGGAAATTCATCAAAGCAATAAAATGGTTCAGTAGAAGCAGATTCACCTGGTAGTATCTGCCATCAAGCTTCCTAATCCCATAACCCAACTGAACCTTTCCAAACGATTCCATACCCGTTAGAACGCCGTTCTTTCGGTAAACATGTTTCCCTATTTGAGCGACCAAATCCATCACTGATTCTTTCCTTACAGTGGGTTTCAGCAGAAGCATACAATCATAAAGAGGCATTTTTCTATTAACCTCTTCCGCAGTAGAAATCACTCTATAATCTGCAAAAACATAGTCAGTCATCATCTAATATACATAAAGCCGAAAGATCTCTAATCAAGCTCATAAAAAAACAACATCGCCTTATAGTACATATATATAAATGAAATATACGATTAAAATTTCAAACTCGCCAGTGAATTGATCGTCGAGGGTATGTTGACCTCTGTCACTGAACTCCACTGCCCTTCAAACCCTACTTTTTCGACCTCTTTCGTATGAGTATGATGAGGTCCCAGTTTGTTAGGTTGAGCCCTACCCAATAGGGTCTTAAAATATGTTCGGCCCAAAAGTGACCACATATAGATTGGTAGGCCAGGCCCAAGTTTGTGGGGTTAATGTTTAGTACTGTGTGTTTTCTATCCACAAGTTTGTGGGCGTCCATGTTCGCCCAAAAGTGACCGCATTTAAAACTATCCTTATTTTCGTTTGTGTCAAAGTAAAATATTTTATTAATTTTTTTTTTTCAGGTAATAAATAAATAAATAAATATATATATATATATTTTATTTTTGTTTTTTTATATTTGGTAAAGGTGTAGATTGAGATTGGGGTCAAATCCATCGACGTGACGTATAAAATAACTTACCAAAAAATTAATAAGTTATTCTTGTTTAGTTTTAATATATATATATTTTTTCTTGAATATTTTAAGACAATCAAATACCAAAAAATAAAAAAATATTTTACATTCACACAAATGAGCCTAAAACAATAGGAATGCTATTTACTACTCTCTCATAGGCTTCTGTGAATAAATTTATGGTTCAAATTCCATCTTTTTTAATAATTTGATATATTATATAAAGGGAATATCCTCTCTTCATTTTATCACATTTTCATAAAATACTACTGTATATAACTTGTATCATAACATGTTATTTCTTTATATAAAAGAATTTATCTCACGTGGATAACAGAAGAGGAAAATTCCGTGATTAGACAACTATCCCAATGTAACGGAGTTGGAATTGTATTTTTGTCGACATAATGTAAGAAAATTAGTTATTGCAATCACGTTTATGTATGCTAGCCTCTATTTCTTTCCAGAATTTCTTAAACCAATAAAGAATTTCTATATGCTACTTTCGTCCCATATTAATTGTCCTCTTCAAAAATTTTGACTCATAATTTTTGTAAATCAAAGTTACCAAATTAGGCATTGAATATAGATAATATATAAGTATATAAAAAGAATATGATTAAAAATGACCTTAAGTGATTCAAAAATAAAAAGTGGTAGTGAGTCAAGATTTTTATATTGAACAACTAATATGGAACAAAAAGAGTATTTTGTAGGTGAAAATTCTTATTGGAAGTTTAAGATCGACATTCCTTCCTGTTCAATAAATCTCTAACAATTACAATTTTAAAAGGTTTCTAATTCTCTAAATTTAAACATCAGCAAATTGTCAACACCTTGGAATAAGGTGGCTTACAGTAGCAGAAAACAACAAAAGAAGTGGTATTAACCAAATAATAATTTTTAAATTAACCACCCCCCGGGCCGCGATTTGGCCTTTGAAAAGAAGACAACAAACCAACATAAAGTATTTTGGTGCTATGTTTGGTAAATGCAATGAAATAGAAGCGAGAATTGGATGAAGAAGTTATTTTCATTTTAATCTTTGATTGTAGATATAAAGTGATATATGAAAGGAATAATCATCATCACCATTTCGTATTTGGTTAGATCAATTTAAAAATTATAATAAAATAAATTTTAAATTGAATAATTCAAAATATCAATCTTAATGATAAATAGATTAACTAACAAAGTATGTAACATTGTTCTATATATATTATTTTAAAAAGAAAAAATTGACGTGGTGGTGACGGTGATAATGGTGATGATGTAAATGGTGGCGGTAGGAAAGTGATGGTGTTAATGGTGGTGGAAGCTTGCAGTGGTAGTGGAAGTTGGTGGGAGTAGCAATGTGGTGTAGGTGGCGGTGACAATGAATTAGAATTTTTTTTTTTTTTTTTTTTGAGACTTAGGATGAATTTTCATTATTTTTCTTTTGGGAGAAATGAAGAAAATACTATTTTTCGTAATATTTTTACCCCCTATTTGAAAAAGTGTGCAATAAACACCCTTAATCTTTTGAAATTGTGCAAAATCACCTCTTCAGAAATTTGACATAAATTAGTGTTGTAATACATATTTTGCCCTTTTAATCTTTCCAAAATGTCCAATGGTGTATATATGCTATGAATCTCATACTATAACTTTTTTTCTATATATATATATACATATATATATTTAACATTTAGTGTTTTCTCTCTCCAGCATTTTTTTCTCTCTCTCAGCATTGTATTTCTCTCCCTATTTATCATCTTTTCAAGTTTTAATTAGACTTCTGGAGTATTTTATTTAACTAAGGAAAAATTATATAAGAAAAGTAGGCAATTGTTATGCCTTGCAAAAGGTCCTAAATTTACACCATTAATTGAGCTACAAAAGCAATGCCACGCCATATTCTGCCTTGCAAAAGGTCCTTAATTTACACCATTACTAGCACAGGCCAATCAGCATTTTTATGTCAAATTTTCCACTTCCTACACAAGTATAACAACTGTTTTGTAACGTTTAGTGCATGTGAAACACAATTTAATGATAAAATTATGTAGCTTTAATGTTTCTTTTGATAGAAGTTTTAAAGCTTTAACAACATGAATTATTTGTATACCTCATTGTTCAGATTTTTCCTATATAGCAAAAAACAAGTTATTAGTATCTGATTCTACAAAAGTAATACTTGCTGGGTCCATGTAGCCGTAGTAATTCCCCAAGTACTTCTCCTCAGACAGAGGATCCTCGTCCACCTTTTCTGATTCTTCATGTTTCAACTTGTAGGAGAATACTCTGTTTTTTTTTTTTACCTTCAGAGTTCAAATCCAAACCGTTAGTTAGGATGCCTGACTCAGAATTGGAGTAAAAAGTAGCAAAGGTGCTTAAACTAATATATATCTATAGAGAAAGACACCCATCAACAAGGACCCAAACTGCTACAACAGCTCCAGTGAAAAACAATTCCGGCAAACTTGTGCACAACCGGGTAAAGAAAATGGGTATCATCTCCATCACTGGGAAGACTGTAATGTTCCTAAATTTTATCATTTTCCAATTTTTGGAATTTTTTTATATTTTATTTTCGGGGGTATTTTATTCTTTTTTCATTTTGTGAACCGGACATCGTGGGGTATGCCGGGTGTGTCAGAAAATTGGGTAGGACATTTCCTTGAGTTCAGACTTTTGAAAATGCACCAGTTCCTATTTCGGCATTTTTTTCGTTTATTGGGCCGGGAAGTCTCGGGTGGGACCCGTTGTCGAGGTTGTTGTGTACAGTGTGGTGTCATGGGATCATTGCATGTCCTGCATAATTAATTATGTATATTAATATTATTGTGATTTAGCAAAATGGTGTGATTGAAAATTAAGATATATCTAAAGAAAATGGATATTTTGTGTTATGGGGCCCACCCCATCTTTGCCTTTCTAATTCACCAATAGGCCATTTTTGGGCCTCAAATTCTCTCTCTATCTCACGCCCCTCTCTCTTTCTCTCCTTCCATTTTTCTTTTTCTCTTTACACAAATTTCAAACATTGATTTCTCTCCAATTGTTGGGAGTTTTGTTGTGCCGTTTGCTACAAGTCGGAGAGCTCTTCAAGATCTACGATTTGATTCGAGCCAATCTTCATTTGGCCATCATTTTAGGATTTCCAAATCTAGGGTTTGAGGTGAAATTGGGGCTTTTTGAGGAATTGTACTCTAATTGAGGTAGGGGTCTTCCTAACACCCAAGTTTTGGTTCTATTTGAGTAAATTTTTCCTTTTTTTATTATATTCTTAGAATTGTTAAACTTTGGTATGAAATTAAGGTTTATTAATGCCTTTGATATGATAAATTAAGTTATTGTGTATGTAATTATGTGATAAGCATGCTTCTATTGAATTGCACATGCTTTACCTTGGTTAATGATGTTCTTATTGTATGAGATTTCTAAATTTTGCCATGATCTTTCCTTGATTATTATCATATGCAATGATGATGTTGTTCTTGTTATAATAATGGACTCATAATTTTGAGAATGAATGGTTATACATGGCATATCATGGCATCAAAAGGGGTTTTGGAAATGAATTTAAAAAGAAAATTTTTCTTTATTTTGGAAGTTAAGTTTTTGATAATGGAAGGGAGTTTTTTTTAAAAAAAATGAACCGAATTTCGCGAGTCCGAGGCTAGCTTGACTTAGAGGGAGCGCGCGGCTTTGGGCATAAAAAAGTTGATACTATGCCATTTAACGGTCGCCAGACATTGCCAGAATTGGAACCAGGAATAGTCATTAATCTCGCCTCGGTAAAGTCAGCTAGTGGGTTTTCCAAAGTTATGGGTTAGACCGATTCAGACCGAGTTGGAAACGGGGTGCATTTACATTCCATTAACAAGCACGGTACTAGTAGAAGTTGTGTTATATGCTAGAAATATTCTTGGTTCATGGTAGTGTTCTACATACCCCAATGCATGATGTGATACCCCTCAAATCCGAGACATGGGTTGATCAGGCCCAGGCCCAAACCTGAGGGAATATCAAACAATTAATATTTTATAATGAACACGGAATACAAAATAAATTAAGAAATGAAATTAAAGCTGGAAGGAATTAAAAATAGAATTCGCAAAATATTATAATTATTAAAATCCATCAAACCCAAACTCCAAAACTCCATCAGTTTACAACTTGGGAATCCATCTCTAGTGGACCCCTATTAAACATCCAAACAGAAGATAGAACAACTGTAATAAAAGTCCAGAAATAAAACTATAGAAAGAGCCCTACATCGTTGGAAGAGTGAATAGAGACCTCTGCTCAGCACGAACACGTCTAAGCCTGGAACTGTCGTGTACCTGAAAAATAGAAGTGGGTCAGGCCCACGCGCAAGTTCTATACTACTACAATCCAAACAGAGGCCCGATACGCATGTACATCCTAAACAATTCAATAATAGCTAATAGTCCGTAAATATATATATAGTCACACTAAAGGACTCTCACTGGACTACAGGTCGGTCTCAACCTGAATAGAGGTAACATGCTAAAACGCACACGAAATGGGCATATGTACCTATACCTAAACAGTGTACACCTCTAACCATCGTAGCCAGCTACACATCCCGATGCATATACGCTCCCTAGCCATCGGTCCTGAGGCTCAAGCTCATACCGAGGCACCATAACAGTACATATATAAAATCCATCCAAAATCCCT